TGGGAATGCGTTTTGGGAAGATGTATTGCCCATGTTTTTTTCCTGTGTGGAATCGAAAGCTGTGTTGAAATTGCTTAGGAGCTTTCAATATCGAGTTGTTAACGTAACTCAAGAAGTACTCGAGAGATAATTATCCCCAAACCCCTTGCATCAAGCAGTAAAGTATACTAAAACAAAAATTCTCTAAAATCCACAATAACAAAAAACTTTATTATAGGTACAAGGAGACTTGCAGTGTACTAACAACTATCGTATCAAGACTATTGAATCAAGAGATGATGATTTGATGACTAATGCTAAGCTAATATATAAGAACAGTAAATCCATTCAACATAATTCCCTTCACTCACTCACTCCTACCTATATATCATTCCCTCCCTTCTTATCACATACCTACCTGAACCTATAGATCAATAGATAGACAACATCTCACATACGTATATCTGACATATATTACACGCAGCCCGCCAGCCTATTTATATGGGTCACATTCAGGGGTTTTGACATAAAAACACCACGCGCTTTCCCCACATCTACTCGTAGGTTAGCCCAACCCCGCGTTTGTGAAGTGAAGTAAAGATGGGAAATTGGTTTGAGGCTGGGGTTGGGTTTAGAGTCGATTGTATGGGTGTGGGTGCGTTGTATTTATTTTATGATTTTATGGCGGGTTTGTAGATTGGGAATTGGGGTATCTATATATATATATATATCCATATATATGTATACCTACCTATATGCATGCATATGTGATAAATAGATGGAAAAATAATAATCTAAATACCCAGTCCTAGCCCAGTATCAGTACTCGCATATCTCTCTACCTACCCTACCCTACCTAATATCTCGTACCCTAATAACTATACATACTCGATAGTCTCCCCATCGCGAACCCCTTATAATACCTAGGTACCTACTATTTCATCCCCATTCATTAAACTCTCATAATCATTTTATAGGTATACTAATCCACCAGTGATCAATCAATCGATTAGTAAATCGATGAATAAACACTAAACACTAAATACTAACTAACCCCTTATTTCTCTTTAATTTTATATTAGCATTAGCTATTTTTATACATTTATACTTCTGTTCATAAACTTATTCTATCTTATATATCTATCCATGAATAATTGTAGTTGTAGTTATAAACCAAACTAAATCATAGAGATACAGAGATAGAGATATAGAAGTCGAAAATAAAAATAGAATCCTCATTCTCAGCGATGATACGAATCACCTGCATCCTGTACAATCGTGAGTTGAACTTCGAGGTCTGGGGTTAGCGATGTGTAAGATTACCTATGAATACTAGGTACCTGCAAATCGATGTGTGATCGACTCGGGCAGGGGGTGAAAATGGTAATTTGTAAGATCTTACTATTAGAGAGTTTGCTATTTGTTCTTTGCGATTTGTGTGTGTATGTATATATATATGTGTATATATGTGTATATATGTGTGTGTATATGTATGTATATATGTATGTGTATATGTGTATATATATGTGTGTATATGTATGTATATATGTGTGTGTATATGTGTGTGTATATGTGTGTGTATATGTGTGTGTATATGTGTGACTCTCGATATGCGGAACATTTTCTGCGCAAGAAAAAAGAAAGAAACGGTTTAGCAGAAGGGAAGATATTACGTGGAACTTGAGATGTTTATGGTGATTGGTATCTAGTATGCTACTGGAGAAGATACACGTTTATTATTTACATTTACATTTTCGTTATTTGGGACAAATGTTATATTGACTCGTTTGTCAAATGATTGAGGTTGAAATCTTTCTAGTTATTCGTTTATATTTCTTGATAGTAGATAACCTTACATACCCCCTTTCGTTCTCGATGTCAAGTACTCGCTCTCACCTTTACCCTCACTTTGGCCCAGCCTTCTTCACAATCGAGCTATCTATCTCCTTTCAGAAAGCGCTTTCCCATGTACTGGTGTTCAGCCTAGGTATTGGTTCGCCGAACCACTTTCAATATACGCACTCTCAGACAGTAAGTAAATCAGAAGAAGGCCGATCAATTGGTAAATCTGATTTCCTTTGATAGAAAGAATGTAGAAGAGTTCTCTATTCAGAATACTATTAGTGCTTATGTGCAGAACATCGTATATCTCAACTCGAAGACAAAAAGCCTCTGCTTTCCTTCTATTCTCGTTGAACAACTCACCGGGTACTTCGTGCATGTCAAATTGTGTGCTCGTGATGTCTTGAGCGGGGAACATCTATATCCTATTCCTCTGATTCTTTTGGCGATGGAGTGGAAGAATCGTATTCCGTGGTCTACGAGATAATGTCCATGTTTATGGTGTGAAATTTCGTGGTTGGTGGGAAGACCAACTTCATTTTTCTTCCTGATTGAGAAGGGATGGTAAATAGAGTTGACGAGTGGATAGAATGGATTTTCCGAATCAATGTTGTGGATACAAGACCATGTTTTGCAGTCAACACTTTGCAAGAAGGAAGCGGGGTTCGTGATAGGAGAGGTGACGGCTAGAATGAATGAAGTTATAATATCTCCAGTGCTTGTTGGTGACAATGGAATTGATGTGAACATAGCTCCGAGACTAGGAATGATATAGGATTTATAGGGACTCTTCAGGCACCATAGCCTGAAGCAGATATGCAACAAAACTTTTGAAGTTTCTGCCAGGGCGGTGGGATTGATTGATCTGATAATGAGGGTGGGAATCCGATAACTTATAAATGAGGGGGATTGGAACAGTATAAGTTTTATTCCTTTTCCCTGCCAAATTCAACAACAGATTATTTACCTTCCCAACAGGACTTAATTTCTCTGGAAAGTCTTTCAAAGTTGAATACGTATTATCATCAATTTCTGAAGTGATCAAGGCATCGGCTTGTCGTCCTGAAACGGGTCGTCCGCCTGGCATTGATGTTCCTGGAATATGTATCATTCTTCATATCAATGATGTGCAACATCAACGAGTCAATAGAAACAGAAACATCATCATCTGTACATGGATATAATGGACATCTCGTCCGGTCTCAATTTTGGGCATATTGTTTCCCAAAAACAAACTTTAGCGCAGCCTTCGTGGCGAGCGGATGCTGTCGCAATCACAACTATGTGATATATGAGTAACCATGATTCCTCTTTCCCTTTGAGAGAGACATACTCAGGAATCCTGTGCCTATTACCAATGTCACTGAATTTCTCGACTTTTTTCACATCTGCGAACTAAGACCGCAATCTCGTATCTATCATTGTTCAATTGACGAGTTCCAAAGGAATTCGTCCAAAATGCAACCGCCAGTATAGTTGTACTAGTCCAACATCCAAGAGCGCCTATATTAAACGCTGGACGAAAAACAGGTGTAACCTGCAACGCGTATGTTCAAAACTCGAATTTTCTTGGTCATAATTTGAATTGTGAAACTTTGTGAAGTGTTAGACAAATGGAAATATCTGAGCTGAGCAGAGATCAGGATGACCGTGTGTCTGTGGAAAAAGCAAGTGCGCATACGGAGTAGTAATAAGTACTAGGTAGGAGAATCAATACTGAGGGGTAACGCAATGATGATGACTGGCGTCGCTCTTATACTTAATCGAGCAGATTTATGAATATCACATCGTGTTGTATCTGTCTCACTACCTAGATATCGACCAATCTTCATCCTGAAATGCACACCATGCAAAAGTTATTTCGAGATCACTTGATCATATTCTCTTAAAGCGATAGAGATGTGTTTAGTGAAAGTGTTCGGTTAAGGATCATACACGAGCAGTATAAGAAAGTCTCTACGATAGGTCTTTATACAGAGTGAGAGAATCTCGATATTTGATTGACCCCTGATGAATTAACCTTATTAAGCGTCACTTAAGCGGACATAAGGTTAATAAAATCTTTTAGTTTGAAACTTAATCGTTAAGAGTCCACTATAATTCCATAATTCTGCAATTTGTCAAAACGTTCCTGCAGAGCTTACCTTACCTGACCACTTTTACCACTTAACACGGTATAGTTGTGGGGGGAAGAAGAAACAGAACGGAAACATCAAATTTTCCGATGAGAAGATGATTGCTAGATGGGTGGGTAGATGGTTAGGTAGGCAGGTATTGGTATGACATATATGAAGAAATGATGAGGAGTTCATAAGTGGTAGAATGTAGGGGCTTTATATATATATATATATACATATACATATACATATCTGTATATATGAAAAAAATATAAACAACGTCGTTACTACATAATCTCACAACATATGTGAATAACACAACACGTAAAGATATACTCATTCAAGTGAATCAATAGTAAAGCAACATCTCGTATTCTTTTACTTCCATCTGCCCCCGCAAAAGGCCTGCATTTAGCTTATTATTACAGTACGCTGTAGATCTCCACATTCAATTAACCTTGCCCTTCCCTTCACTTCCCTTCCCCTTCCATCTTTTCTACCACAGCAAAGTACTCTTTTGCAACAAACAACCAACTCCTTCCACTCAGGAATCCTTCAGACTGCGATCCTACTACCAACTGTTTCTTACATTCATTCATCAACAATCTTTCATCAACATTATTTAATGTGTCAATCGTTTTACTACTCAAGTATATTGACAATCCAAACCGAAACAGTCCCAAACCTTGGCACCTTCTTCCAATATTAGCCACTACCGAAATTACTTGGATGGAGAGAAGAAAATAAGTCGCAACACAAGTATCCTGGACTATGATCATATCATCACGAGCGATCAATTGTTACAGCGTCGAATCCATCATCCATTCTGCCATCCGTTCATCCATCCATCGAGCAACACGACTGGAAGGCGACATTCCAATCTTATATTGAACTCCCCTCAAAAATATCTCCTATCCGCATTCCACGGGAGATATCCGCACGCCATATATACCAAACAAGTATAGAAACCTGCGAGCGACGAGTAGTTAGTGGAAGAGTGGGAAGATAATAGTAAATTATTGTCGCAATCGCGAAGACCATCGTCTACCAACATCCCACACAATGTATCGATCCATCCTCTTATTTGCGACGGCAATTCTACCCGCTATTGTCGGAGCCCAACAATTACAAGACGGCTCAATTGTTCCATTCTCATCCGGCCTTCCATCGTGTGCCTCGCAATGTGGACCTCTTTCCGATGTTCAAGGGGCTTGCATTCCTCCAGTTACGGCCGATGTCTCTAGCTCTTGTTTTTGCGCAGATTCTAGATTGACGCCTTTCCTTACTGGAACCTCTGGGGTATCTTCTGTGTGTGGTGCTGCAAGCTGTACGTCGGAAACGGATTTACAAAGTATCGAGACTTGGTACCAACAATATTGCAATACGCAATCGGCATCGACTACTACATCGAGCAGTGGAAGTTCTGCTACTTCGTCGAGTTCATCGGGGTCAAGTTCAGGTAGCACAAATCAATCTTGGTATGTAATTTTTACATGGAAACGGTCATATAAATAGCTAATTCTCTTCCAGGTTCTCTAGTCATGCGAAATGGGTTGCAATGCTTATTGTACTTGTTGTTGGAATAACACTTGCGTGGCTTATCGCATTCTATTTCCGAAGACGATATCTTCGAAAGAGGGAAAAGGAAATTGAAATGAGACCACCAGTTGCTTTGGGGCCGCATCAACTTCAAAATACAACAGATGGATACAGATATGGAGAGGGCGCTATTAATGCTGCTGAAGGAGGACACCATAAGGAAGCTACTAGGTCAACCGTGACATCTACACCAGCAGAGGCAACGAGAGGCAAACGGGAAAGTAAGAGTCTCCAGAAAAAGCAAAGAACTTAAAATATTGGATCTTTAACAAATGATGGAATTCATGACTGCGGGGCGTTCAACTCGGCGATAGGGTACGGTGTTTGGGGAAAAGTTAAAAGGCATATGGTCTTTGTTGAATATATTTATTAATGGATGGAGCTTTGTTGATACCACAGGTGAATGGCGATAGTGTCACATAATGGAATGTCTCATTCAGTCTGAATAAGTGCATTATTGAGGAGGTATCAAATAGTTGGTACTGTTAATATTATGAAGTTTCTGTATTCATCCGTTGTCTAGTGCAAGGGAATTAATGGTCGTTTGTGTCGTTTGTTACATTCGGTTTCTGGATGAAAAACTGGACAACAGTTCCCATCTAATTTGCTTGTGCACAGTGTCCAATAGTCTAGACTGACAGACTATTAAATGTAAATTTCAGGAATCTGATAGCCTGTGGCTGTGGGCTGTATTCCACATGATTAGAGAGCTAGTGAGTGAATCATTCGATTTTGGACTTTTCTTCTCTTCAAAGTATGAAAGCCAAAGATCCATTTACAAGTACCATCTCACAAAATAGCTACACGATGTCTGTCCAGGCAACAATTCCCAAAGAAGTCATCATACTCGGCTCTTGCATTTTGTTCACTTGTTACATTCTCAACTGTTTAGTTCATGAAACATTCTGGTTTTGCATTGGACTTGAGACCATCTTCTTCTGCTGTGGGTTGGGGATCTATCTTTTGGCTGTCAAGAACATCTACAGCTTCAGATTGAACTGGGTTGGCAAGAGAGGTAGAAGCATGGTTTAGGAGTGTTGAGATTGAGGCTTCTCTAGGTACTTGAAAGAACCTTGGAATACACGATCTAGATATCTAAGATTCTTCAAGTTCCCCGATTCACTTTTAGGAAAGTCCCCTTGCCCCCTGACTCGAAGTTGATCCGAGCATACACAGCAAGATATTCACTTGGATCCACAATCTCCTCTTCTCCTCTTTTTCTGCCTAGAATCTCGAGCTGGCGCCTCGACCGACCATTCTTGTTGTCCTTTTAGGAAAGACCTCCGACCTCTTCCCTCCATTCTGGTTTCTCTTTCTTTTACAATCAACAACCTTAGATATCTCTCTCTACTACTCGCAATACTTGTTTTTTCAAGTCATAACCCATACTTTCTCTTCCTATTACAACTCTCAACTTTAGATATCTCTACAAACTTGTAGATACTTATTTATTCAAACCATCACCTTGCTTTCTTCAAATACTTGCAATATCCGATCACATACTTGCTTCGAGTCTCGCAGACTTCCTCAAGTACACTACTTCACATTATTTATCTTCTGTGCTGCCAGTTTCACCATTTTGCTCTTCAGATTGCGGCACTTCACAGTTTGTCTTCGCACAACAAAATTCGACATCTTTATCCTCAATCAAAGCCTCCGAGTTGTTGCCCAGCAAAGACCACACTCAAATCGAAATAGCATTACTCATGATATACTAAATCCACCAATACTACGAAATCATGGACATACCTTTGTCTTCCCGAAATGGGGGTGAGTCTTCGAGACTCGATCATATTGGCCAACACTCTTCTTATGCCACCCCTCCATCATTCGGTCTCACCTCACACTCACAACGCATAGCAAAGCATGCTAAACATCAACAAGCAAATGCAGAATATGCAGCTTATGCAGAATCTCCCGAATATGCAGACCTCGTCACAAAGTTGCAAATTCGTATTGCTGTCCTCGAGAACGACCTCGCCCATGCTACAAGGGATAAAGATGAAGCTATCAAGAGTTCCGTCATCATTGCTAGAGCACTGGGTAACGTTGCCAACAATTCGGAGTCAATTACGAGAAAGCTACAAAATCCTGATGCCGAAGAATTGGAGGAGTTGAGAGTTGTAGTGCCAAGATTGAGAAGGGAAAATGCTATTCTTTGGGAACGCATCGAGTCTCGAGAGACTGATCACATGGCCATCAATGATAGTCTCACCGATGCTTCCTTTAAAGGCAAGAACCCCGACCCATTTTCCGTGGATGAAACCAACCACCGCATCCCATTCAGGCCACGAACAACACATCCCATCATCGATGCGGCCATAAAGAAAATCAGCACTCAGGAAGAATCCAGGCACTCTCATCACCCAGTCAACTTCAGCGAAGCAACCCATCTTCCCAACACAGTCAATCTTCAGCGAGGTGAAGACGGTAATTTATCGGTTCCACCCAGCTTTCCCATTCTCCCCACCACCCAAAAGAGAAGAACCATTCACGACTACAACACCTCCACGCTCGATGACGTTCTTGCCTCTGATGATGAAGATGAGGATCCGGTAATCAAAATAGAAGATCAACTTCTCTTTCAACAACAGGCACATGCAAATTTCATCAATGTTCCTGCTCCTGCTGTCCTCAAAGCCGGTTTTGAGTTATCTCCAGAAAAGGCTGTGAGGGGTCATGATTATGCTAATCAAAGCCAGCCTAATCGCAATGTCTACTATGATAGATTCAACACACGCAATTCAAATGCATCAACTCGTTCCCGATTCGCCGAACTCGCCGATTTGAGAGCAGGAACCACTATCTGGACAACATCTCACCAGAGAGATGGTGAGATCATGACTCACATGGGTGATTGTGATCCAAAAAATCGTAACATTCCGGACTATTTTAGATACGGGATACTTTATGTTCCTGGGTCAGGCGATGGTGATTTTTTGAGAGGTGTCCATATTGGGGGTATTCCAGAGTATATGGACCTGAGGGATGTTCTTACGAGGGTTAGAGGTGGTAGGATCTACTCAGCAGTTCTATTAGACACATTGAAGTTGACGGGTAGTAAGTCGGCGCTGGTTACGTTCATCAATCAGGAGGATGCCAAGGCTTATGTTGAGTATGCGAATGCTCATCCCATTACGCTCAGGGCAACAGATTCGGGTGGTGAGAATGTGGGCAAGGCGATTGTCACACATATTCATACTCCCACATACCCTTTCTCTCCAGCAAAATTTAGGACGATCTTTGAGCTGAATCGTACTCGCGTCCTTACGATCCCCAATTTCCCTCCAACTATTTCCCTTCGAACTCTCGTGTATGATTTGAAAAACAGAAATGAGTTTAAGGCTAACAGCTTGCTCGAATGGTACATCGATGAAGAAGGAACTCTACGAATGGAGTTTTCCAGTATGGATGAAGCTGGGAGTGCTTTCGGTCTTTTAACCAGGTCGGGTGCTTACCGAGATTTTGGATTGATCTTGCAATTCGAGAGAGATAATTGTGAAGGGGACTTGCAGGAATTGGAGAAAGAACCTGAAAAGAGAAGACCCATGTTTCCTCCAACAGAACTGGGAGTTAGGACCAACAGACGTGGAAGTCGAGTTGAGGGAATGGGCGATGGTTCGAAAGTGGATGCAGTTGTTGATTCGGTTTTAGTGGTGCAGAGAAAGAGACTGGCAGCGTTGCAGAGACAACATGATGTCATTCCCAGTTTGAGAGGCTCAGCTTTGAAGGCAGGTTCGTGGGCCGATGAGGTCGAGGAGGAATTGGGAGATAATACATCGATCCAGGATTTTGGTCGTCAAGATGAAGACACTGGTACCATCAGACATCAACCATATCAAGCAGATTCCAGTGCCGGATCTACATCAACCCTCATCGGAGCATCATCTGATGCCCCACAAAAAGATGAAGATCCCTCTTTCGTCACCCCAAAACGCGCACCTCGCATTATTACTGGAAAACAATGGCTCCTTGAAGTTGCTGCCGCTGAATCTTCTTCTCAGAATCCATCTACATCATCAGCTACATCAAATTATGATGCGCCAGCTCCCATGCCAGACACACCTACCTCCAACAACTCCACACCTCGACCCCGTCTTGTTGTTTCAACCACATCTCTTCCTCAAAATGACACCACCAAATCTTCCTCTCCAAGCTCCGCAGAATACAGCATTCATTCTTTCGCTTCCTCCGCCGCTTCTGCCGCCGACAATGACAATCCTTCCCTCCCATTTTCCCATCCCAGAAAACAAACCCAAGCTCCTCTTGTACACAAGGCTAAACCATCAGTCCAGTTCATCGGTCCACGTATCTCCGCCTTTCAACCTGCCCAACCCGGAGAGACTCCCCCCAATCTTCCGACCGAGCCAACTGCATCAATATCAACCCCACCAAGCGCAAAAATCCAAGCCCTCCAAACCTTCAAATCCACAGTCGAAAATGCAGATACAAAGGTTTATTTCGATCTTGATCCGGAAGCTGATACCGAGAAGGCAATTTTGGAGAGTGAGGTTGAGAGTGATCATGAAGTACATGGAAGTGTGGATAAAGGAGAGGTTTTGAGTGAGGAAAAGGGAAAGGGAAAGGGAACGGGAACGGAAAATGCAGTGAAGATTAACCCGGATGAAATTGATCTTGATGCGGAGTCTGATGGGGAGGATGATGAGAATGAAGGTCTTTTTCAAAAGGAGCTAGTTCTTGATGATAGAGCTCAGGATTAACATCGGTATGGAGACGAGGATGGAGATGGAGATGGGGAAGCATGCAACGCAGATGTCTTTACTTATTCAACCAACATCGATGGAGAGATCATGGGTTTACTTCTACTTCTGATTCTGGATCGAAAAATCATATTGGGAATGGAGTTTTGGGTGGAAATTCTAATGCTAATGCTGGTGCTACTATTATTAAGAGTTTACGTAGCGTGATGGAGGGTATTTTTTTTCTTTTCTGCGATGAGACATTTTCTTCTCTCACAAATATTTGCTGGGATGAGCAGGGTGCATACGCTGGGATCAGATAATTCTGCATTGAAAGCGAGATGTTCTTTTGAATTCTGAATTTTTGCTTATTTCCATTATCTATTTTTTCATTTTGATTTGTTGAGGGAGTTTCCTGTGTGCGGATTTACGAATTTATCTATCTATCCATTTATTTTTCTCGAATAGACAAATAGATAGATAGATTGGAGATGAATGAATTTTCATCTCCATCTCGATTCTCCAAGCCGTAGATAGATAGTGGAGAAAACATATCAAATCAAAATGAAAGCAAAGTACATATTCGCAACTCTGTCTATAAATTTGCGTGACAGTGAGAATCGAAGGTGGTGGTTGTTTGGGAAGTGCGGGGTGGGTTATAGATACAGTTCGGATGGATGGGTTGGATGCTAATTATTATCATATGAAATTTTTTGTCTGTTGAGTCTTTGATGCCGCATCTCATGCCTAGGTATGTAAGGAATTGGATTGAGCTTGGGATGTGTTGGATATCAGAGATTTGTGTGGCACGTGACTATTTATTACATTCATCGGCTAGCTAAGCAGTTTGACTACAATTTGTAAGAGAGCAAGGGTTTCTAATGATTCTGTTTTTCTCGACTTTCTTAAATTGGTTTATTAGTCGCTCTTCGATATATTCTGACTTGTAATCGTGACATTAGATTGAATAGACCACCAGACAGATGCTGAAGTTTTAATAGTCTTGGACATGTGATCGTGACAGTCTTACACTGGAGTCTAACGGACCTCGATCCCCAATTGGTGAGTCTCCGTGTTTGTTGCACATCTCAAAAAACAAGATTATTGATATCAATCCAAGACCAGGGATATCCTTAAAAGCTTGATATAAATGCCCTTTTAACAATGTCTTTCTAACGCTTTTGGAACTGGGCAATAGGGCATGCATATTTCGAGACATGCAACAATTCCTCTTTTTGATACGACCTGACCAATCTTAGGATTTGATTCCATTGAAAAGACTTGTTATACGAGATATTAAACATCCTCAAGTACGAGGTCACGCCGTACGATTACCATGATTTCGGTTGTCCTCTCCCGTCATTTACGAAAAGAGATGTAAGGTTAAAGAGGATGATAACACGACATAGCCTTAGGTTGACACCCAATCAATCGGAAACACAGCCAAGTATCTAAATAATGCCCTCTTCTTACGACATGCAACAAATCCATCACTTCCTGACATGAATCACCTGTCCGGAAACACATCGCAAGCGCTCAATGGTCATGTTTCTCACGTGTGCTGACATTCGTTGGTTGGGTAAGTTACCTACCTATCGATGGTTGGTGGGGTGGCTCAAGAGTGGAGGTGCAACATTCACTCAATACTTAGATTTATTTATATTGGATCTCATAGAGTCGCAGTCGATCTCAGCCACCATATCGCCAACAATCTCTCTGTTGAACACGAACACTCACTTACTTTTCTCGTGGTTCAATTCATTAACATTTGGTTTGGATGGCTATGTTTGAATCGCTTTGTTGTATTTGATCTGTTGGTGTTTCTTCTAATCTTTTGTTTTTTATTCTCGATCTGTATTTATATGACATCGCCGTGCTTACTTGACAGTTGGTCTTTGCAGTGCAATGAGCTAGCTGGGCTGAACTTTTTACCTAAATTTAGTATCCAGTGCGAGAGTTCTTGGCTACAATAAGAAGCCTTCTAAGTTTACTCATCCTCAGCTTGAGAGGAAACGGAATTTTTGTTCATCTTATCTAAGTTCTATTTCGAACTTGTCCAGTGCCTTTACTAGAAGTAATTTCGATTTCTATCTTTCGATCCTTCATTCTTCCTTCCTTGTTTTCTGCTTCTGCAATATTCTCATTGCAATCATTCTTGTCTCACGTTCTCTCGAATTCATTCACAATCCCAAATTCAGGATTGATACATGTCGAAAGTTATCAAAATGGCAGACTTTAATTTCCCCGGAGTCGATCTTAGTGATCCTTTTCTTCCATCTCCCGGTTCAATATCCGTTTATAGCCCGTTCGAATACAGTACTCCTAAAGCTGCCGTCAAACCACCTCATGACTACGGTACATTTAACTATCCGCTCACACCTGTGGATGAAAGGCTCAGTCCCATCTCATTACCTCTACGATCTCGAAATTGCTCTTCAAATGCACCTCCATCTCTTTCTTTCTCTCGTTCTTCTAGTACCTCGTCCAAGTTTTCCTTTTCCTCTTCTGCATCAAATATTAATTATAATCGGCTGTCGAATACCAAGTGGGCACCCTCTACTTCTTTTCCTCACTTTGTATCATTGCCATTGGATATCCAGAGAACCATTTGGAGGCATACGTTACCCAAACCGCAAGTTATCGAAATACACCAATACACGAAATCTACACCACGATCATCCTCTTCCTTTTCAACTTTAACGCAACAAGATGAAGAACCCGTTCCAACTTTGACAACTCATAGTCTCTTTCCAATCGCCCTACACATAAATCGCCTCTCTCGTCGCCTCGCTCTCTCCATTCTAACTCCACTTTCTTTCGCCCAACCTTACTACCTCCCTTCAAATCCATACGCTTACATAAACTATGTTCAAGATACCATATTCATCTCTTCTCATACTATCTACCTCGAGCTCGGGAATCATATCTTGTATTCGAGGAACTTACATATGATTCGACATTTGGCCCTGGAATTTGAAGTATGGTGTGAGCTACTTGGCGATAATCATTTTGTTAATGCACTTTTGGAAATGGAGGGATTGGTGAGCATTGAGATTATTTTTGAGAGACAACCTGGATCGCTTTCTTTCTGTTCAGATCTTTCATCCAATAACGAATCGTCAATATTATCGAGAGAACTCGAAGAATCGATAATGAATTGGGGAATCACACATCAAGCTCAAGATACCCTTAGGTTTACAGAACCGACAAGAAATGAGGAAAGAAACTTGAAAGCTATATTCGAAAGGGAATGCGAAAAGAAATGGTTGTGGGGAAGAGTAAGTGGATGGGAGGATGTAAGTGGAAAATTGAGGTTCAGATGGAAAGAAGAGGAGAACAAAAGCATTATGCGGAGTCGCGCTCACAGAGATACAAACGAATCTTATACACCTCTACCATCCAGGTCAAGCGCAAGGGGTAATCTCGCAATTGGATTATCCGGAATCGGCTCTGAGACGGCATACATGGGAGATGAACATGAGGAATTAAACCAGGGATTAGAAAGTCTGATGAATAGCGTGGATGATGTTATAATGGATTACGGATATGTAGCGCAAGGACGAGGGAGGTGGGTTAATGGCAGGGATACGTATGCGGATCGAGATGATGCATATAGCGAGAGTAACTATTCGCGATGTTCGGCGAGTTTCGAAGATGATTCTGATACGGAGGGGTGGATTTAATGATTCTTTATTTTTCTCTTTTGGGGGAGTTTGTGTAGTGAGAGGCGAGGGGAAGAGATTCAAAGGCGGAGTTTCGGAGAGGGGAGGCGGGAGGCGGAGTTGGTTACTTTTGTTGCTCAACATATGTAGGCTAAAGGCGTTGGGGTTTGGAAATGATACCATGTTTTGAGATAATTGCATTGGTGGCGTCAAGTAGTTAGTAAGACATATGGAATAATCCTCCATGAATCCAGTATTGAGCCTCGGACTTCTTTTACATTGTCATTTGTACCACTATTAAAAACTACTATTTTCCAATCGCGATATCAATGTGCACTAGAGTTGAGAATTCCATGTCCTTGCTTTTCATATTTTGTAAAAGGACCTAGGTTATTGAAATTGCTGCATATCGTAGGTAGTGATTGTGATTTGTCTTGAATACCTACCTAGGTAGCTATCGAACTGGAGTGATCATGCAGTGTTTCCTTGAATGAATGAATTGGATTTTTGACAGGGCGGAAGATGCGTGACTACCTAGGCATCGTATCTTGTAGAAATGAATATCTGTAGTTTTATAAGTCGAGAGATTTGTAAGTTTTGATTGAGCTCGGGAGGTATGCGTTACGTGACCGGAAAAAATACGTGACCGAAAAAAGTGGCGGATATGAAGCACCCTTTTAAAGAATTTCTTTAATGAATTATAAATTCATTTAAAATTAAATGTTAGAATTTGAGAAGATCAGATGGAAATTTTCTATTGAGTTTTCTTTATGTTGATGATTGGGATTATATTATATCTATTTATTTGTATAGTATTGAAAAGAGATTCAAATTATTGAAGTTCTTTTAGGGAGTACTCAATTCCCGCGTGTTTTTTCGGTTACGTGGAGGTGTGTATGGGAAGATGGGTGGATGAATGAGAGGAAATAATTCATAAGTGATGTGAAAGGACAATTTGAGAAATCATCTGGCTTTGTGATGTGATGTGATGTGAAGTGATGTGATGTGACGTATACTTTTGGGAATTTTTATGAGTAGTATGTATTTTGATTTGAGATGGGTCTCAGGTAGATGGAGGGGAGAGGGAAGGGAGATGAACTAGTTGGGTATTCGTCCTAATGATTTGATGACCTCCAAGGCTATCAGGGAATATGAAACATAAGGGATCACTGATAGGGCTATTCATCATCTCAATATTTTGAGGATGGATAGTTTTCTGGATTAATCAAAACCAATCAAGACATACACGATCAGTTGGGATCAGAAAAGACGTATATCGTAGGTAAGGTTTTAGTATTAAGTGTAGTGCGTATTATATTGAAAGCTATGTAAGATTACAATCCAGTTGACTATATCAATCAAGATGATTACGTAATACGCCTAATGCGTCTAGCCTGTTTTCTGGATCAAATCTCGGATAAAAATCCAAAAATGCCGTTTGCGCCCTACCGCAGTCTACGACTCACCACCCAAAAACTCAGTCTTGGCAACACGTGCATTTCAATCTATCTACAGCTCAATCTCTATCAATGGTCCTTGATATGACTTTCGTCCATCAACCAGATACCAGAAAACTGCAAATAAAACCGTTGCACCAAATGTGAGAATACTAAAGTTCATGGTTGCTGGAACAACTGGTGTCTGTGGGGGCCAGAAAGCCCAAAACCACAGCACGAAAAGATACACACAGGCGAACGCATTGTTGAGAACACCCAATATTCCCGGGATGCGCCATGGGCCCCAATGTAAGTTATCTGGACCGAGTCTTAGAATACGCGGGTTGTACGCCTTGATTCCAGGAGACTGTAGCCGCCGCCAAAGAAGCAGGCCGCAGCAGATGAGATACGAGGAATAGAGACCGGCAATACTGAGATTGACGATATTATTAAATGCAACACCCGAGCCGAGGATAATAAGCGAAAGGAGCACGGAAACAACAGTGGTAAATGCAATGGTGTATATGGGGATTGAGGTTCGTCGGTCAAGCTAGCGATTAGAAGTTAGCCATGTAACACATCTCGGGAGGTATTATGTTGGCGAAATTGAGAAACTAGGTGTTCACCTTTACCCAAATCCTCCATAGCGGAACACCTCTGTCTCTAGCAAAAGACCATAACATCCTAGAGGATGAGGCGAGAGCACCCACTGTGCTACAGACACCGAGTGCCACGACGAGTAAGCCCATCACTGCAGCTCCCGCGGTTGAACCGGTTCCTGTTTGGAAAACGTAAAGAAATGAGTACCCTAATGTTTCTTGTGCGTTCAACACATCATCGAGATTCCCTAAGCAGAAGAGATATGCGATCATCATCGCAAAGCCTAGAATACCATTGAGAATGAGACCACTGAGCATTGCACGGGGTACAACAATTGATGCTTTTTTAATCTCTTCCGACATCTGTGTTGGATACAAGTGATCCGCTGGTTAGCCAAAGAACTCTCATTGAACTGACAAGCTGGAAACCATCTCACATGAACGGCCGAATCAGCACCAATAAGCGAGAAAACAGAAGCTGGCAAGCCAATCATGAATGATAGTCCTTGCGAGGACCACCCGCCTTCATTTACAAAGGTAGTAAAGAGGAAAGTATCGCCGTGCGGTGAGAGATACACGAGTGGAATCAAAACGGCGAAGAACCCTAGGATGTGTAGAACCAGAATCACACCTTCGAAGTGCGCGAGAGTCTTGCTTGCTACCGTGTTGATCACAACTGCAAAGGCGAGAATCGCCCACAAGAAGAGCATCGACTGCCATGGTTTTGGAACATAGTCCGATTTTGTCATCAGTATGACACTCTGCAAAAGCGTCCCTATAAGATATGCTGCAGATGCGGTAACCGCTTGCCATCCGGCGAATGTCATCCATCCTACGTTTCAATTAGGTTTGTTCTATGCCTTCGAACCACGAGAGTTCGTGTGAAAAGATTTACATACCCGTGATGTAACTTAAGAATCGTTTAGATCTGTCAGGAGCTAACATTGTAACCCAACTGTGTGTTGCTGTTAAAAAATGCCACGAGCTGAGGTGTTCGTAAGAAATTATTGATGGCTTACTGGTATTGCCCTGCTGCTATCGGTGCCCTATTGTCGAAACCTTAGTACCAATGATCTAGTCATAACTAAGAGATTTCTTTCTCACATAGAAGCCAGTTCCGACAAAACAATGAAGGTAGACATGGTTCCCATCCATACGATGATGTATCCCCAGATGACTCCGGCAGGACCACCACTACTTCCGTCAGCAATCGTGCTTGCTAGATAGGTGTGCCTCTTACTTTGCAAGGCTCTGGACAGATACTCTATGATGAGTCAGCTGTTGCCATAAACCCTCGAGGGCAAACTAAATGTATTGGCATTGATTGTTGGGCGTACAAACATCAACATTCCCTCCCAGGTAATAAGGACAGTACATGAAAAACCTAAAATGGACATGAAGCCAAAGTTGCGCTATGCATCGTTAGCAAGGCTCATCACCAGATGGGTCTATAACATGAACATATACATGCCTTCAAAACAGGCTTTTTGCCAAGCCTGATTAAATCTCTCTCATCTCTAGTGCAACCCGTTTCGTCAAAGTCTTCGGCGAGAGGAGTGGCTGAGGCGGTGTTTGTGGCATGCTTTCTGTTCTGGAGTTCCATATCCATTGGGGATCTCTGTAAGTTTTCTCTCGTCGTCTTCATGAAAAAAGGCGGAAATGTTGATTGAAGTTGGAAGTGAATTGCCAGCGAGTGCTTGAGAAGGAAACAAAAGCGATCAAGGCTACCATTCTGGGCATAGCAAATAAGTCCTGCAGCTTATATTATAGATTGTGCTGTGTTCATTTGATAATTAACCTACATGATCAGATATCCATACATGACCCAGGCCCTTCATTCTCAGGTGAAGTAATAGCCATGGATGTTCCCTAGACGGTCCAGTCATATCACATCCCGACTGGCGAGTTTATTACTGTAGTACGAATGTTCGCCAAGCCGGACAAGCAAGTAATCTTCTAGTACTCGGTGATAAACGAAGACACCAAAATTACTGAGATCTTGAATTACTGATAGAACTTTTCGAATTGTCTAAACAAGGATAATCCGAAAACGGGTATCCAAATTGAATCTAAATGTTTATTAGTGTATTATATTTTCAAGACCTTTTTGTTCGAATTGAATTGATATCAAAATCCAAGCTATATGCGATTCGCTAAATTTTGGTGAAAAATTTCGTGAAATTATCAGCCTGGCCCTCTTCAAAAATATCGGCGAGTATAGTACGAGAGTTCCTAGGCGGGCGAGCAAGGTAGGGTAGATCATAATTCTTATTTTTATTCTATCTCCTCTATAATTAAAAGGAATATATAATTGGAATGTTATACTGTCGATAGCTTTACTGAAATTTGATTAAGAGGCAAGTAGTAAGAGTTCTGGCCCCTGCTCAATGTAACGCTTTTCCGGCTAAAATATATGATTATTCAGCTTTTTATATCCTAATTTATTCAAAAATGTATGAAATAGAATTGAATATAATATTATGAAAAGATTTAGAATTATTTAAATTATATAAAAAAATATATCATTTATTTTTAAATATTTTTTTAATAATATTTTTAAAGGATTAAAGTTGAAAATTCAAAAAAGTTTGAAAAATTCGCTTATTTTGTATAGGAAAAGTGTTATATGTTAAAGTTTTTAAAAAAATTTGATTTTAATATTATATAATTATTCAATAAAAATAATAAAAAAAATTTCAAATTTTTTTTTATATTTCAATTCTGATTATTCATTATTTCTAATTTTTTAAAAAAGAAAATAGAAAGATTTGAATGAAATAATTGATATAATAATTTATATAGAAAAACCTCATTTTCACAGGGATTTTGTCACATTTGTCACAGGGGTGCGGTGAGCAGGGGCTAGAACTCTTACGATATTGAATGATGCGAAACTCCGCCCACTCCCAAAAGTAAGCGCATATCGGTGGTGGCGTGAAGAATGTTGGATGCTGAAAGCGTGGTTGCAACCTCAGCAGGTGAGATTAACTGCCCGGATGCAGGTAATATTTTACCAATGTCCAAGTAGTCTGCGCGCCGCCCAAAGCAGTGACACGAACTCATTTACGACCGAGTCTACCCCCGAGCACCCTTGTTACTTTCGCATTTGCGGAAAAATGTAAGCGATCCTGCATAAAGCCATGAGTGAGTGATGTGTGAAACCTAGATTCTTAAATGCAACCTCTCAATGGCAAAGAAAGCCGTACTGCATTCAATGTGGTATCTTCAACGGACATGCAGCGGGTGACAGAAGTTGCGATCCTTCCATTCCCCTCATACTCTCTCTTCCTTTAAAATCTTTCTAAACATGAGAATACCTTGGATCCAGCTGCTGGCTTGGCTCTTACTCGTAGTGTAGACTAGAAAAGTCATTTTATCTCGAGTTACAATTAGTCGTTAGTGCGCCTTTATCACCTCATGGCTTCCCTTTCACTTGCCGTCAGGTAGACTTTTCTTTCTCTGTGGTTCGCAATGATTTCTCAGCCGTTTTATCTACTTATGCCGCGGGCTGAGCCGAAAGTTGATGGTAGCCATGTAGCGCCGGTCATTCAAATTTTGGCCTGGCTTCTTCTCACATTCTCTATTCTATCTGTGGCCGCTCAATACCTTACGAAACTTGCTATTTCTAGGCCCTTTGGGGCCTCCGATACGCTTCTGTTTGCTGCACTTGTAAGACCCCAGTTGAACCGACGGATCCTTCGTATCTATCTTAATCTTGACAAATTGCAGGTGTTTTATGTAGGTCAAACTTCGACCTTGTTGAGCCCCGCAGGCCAGGTCATAGGAGACTCGCCTGTAGATCTTCCCATAGAGACCATAAATCGGGCACTCAAGGTATGGAAGTCGCTTTACTCAACTTTTGATCAATGCTGAATTAAAGCAGGCTCTATACAGTATCCAAATTCTGAGCATCTTCACTCTTGTCCTCGTTAAGAGCTCCGTATTCGCGGCGCTTCGGTCCATCACACCAGTAGCCTGGCATCGAATCATGATATATGTAGCCAGTGCAGTCACTGTCGTATGGGGAATTACTTCAGTGTTCGCTGTGGCTTTCCAGTGTCCATCTCCGCAGAGATGGAATGTTGTTGACCATGCATGTATCGATATTGTAAGTCAACAATTCTCAGGTGTGGGAGTTAAGGTCAAACTGACACTGCATAAGCGTGCCGTGAAGATTTACACCGCTGTGATGAATATTTTGACAGATCTTGCTCTAGTTGTATTGCCAACAATTATCATATTACCTATTCAGATGCCGTGGGGGACACGAGTTACCATTCTAAGTGCCTTTTGGCTTCGATTAACGTACGCATGCCCAAGTCCGTGTCTCCCGTTCAGGACTTATGTCTGACTATAACTATAGGGTCGTTGCGGCTTCAGTTATCCAGATCGTTTATACCCGGCGCCTCCTTATCAATGATCTGTTTCTCAACAACATATGGCAGACTGTAGTCTGCCAAATGGTCGTCCAGAGCACTAGCATTATGGCCGCATGTATTCCATTCTTGAAACCATTTTTGATGAGTCTTGAATCAGGATTCCTTCGTGCAGATGATATCAATCGACGGACTGCCGCTGGGATGTACGGGTCTGAGCACAATCTACAAACTTCTGGAAAGGCATCCAGCTATATCAAGATGAAGGACCAAAGTTGGCAAAGCCGGGAATCCTCGGCCAAGGCTGGGAGATCTGTGGACCAGGAAGAAAATGGCCGCAAGTGATTTAATCGTCTGATATTGGAATAGCACTTTATGATTTAGTTGTATTTTAAGAATGGGATCTCGATACCTGGCTCTTCATTCTTAGCCTTTGATGTTCCTTTGCAATCAATCTTCACTTGAAGAAAAAAACGAAATCAAAATCAGTGGCATAGTTAAAAGCTGAGTGATACTCTGAAATCCTTTGAAAAGAATGGAAACAATAATTCTACAGGTGTGGTAATGTAAATTGCTGTGAATAGTATTGTCCGACTAATAAGTCTTTGGCTGCGCTTCTCACGCCCCAATTTAGCGACGAGTATTAAGGAAAGGGCAATCAGTCACGTTCTAGAGCCTCACATGCATTGTTGAAACTTTATCTCAATAGTCTCTGTGTAAATTGCCTATCATTTTGTACGCTATTCATCCAGAATTTGATTCCTCAAAGGTCACGCCCCCCCCCCCCCCCCCCATCTCAAAGCACATTACAATTTTCAAAATGATCCATACCATCTTCAATAGAATTCATGTCTTTGCAACCCAATCTCTTCGTGCAAAAGAAGCTTTCGGGACTGGCAATTTACTCGACGAAATCGAGATCAATACCCGCATCTATGAGAGGTGGTCTGGCACTGACACGCTTCTCGACAAAGTCGAAGTCGATGCCTGTATCTATGAGAGGGGGGGCGGGGCTGGCGCGCTTCTCGACGAAACTAGAATCGATACCCGCATCCATAAGAGGTGGGACGGGGCTAGTACGTTTTCCGGTGGAGTCCTTGTTGACTACAGTAAATCAGATTGTGGTATAATATGGAAGCATTCAAAACAAACCTAGAGGTGCAGCGAATGCGCTTGAAGAAAGAGTAGCCACGAGGATTGTGTGGAGCTTCATGCTTGCAATTGTGTTGGTTGTAATTGCTATAGAAGAATTCGGATCAAATTCAGCTCTTGGAAACTTGGACGACAATGATGTGTAGAAAGGAAGAGAAATCAAAAGTATTTATAACTTGGAAGTCGTTGTGTGAAAGCTCTTATCCTAGTGGACGTGCTAATGGCGTTTCTACTGGTAAAGTGAGAGCACAGCATCTCTCAACGCTAAGGATCAAGAACATTCCCAAGGGTGTAAAGATTGCATGCGAAATCACGATAGTTTGCATAAAGCATGGTGAGTCTGTGGTATTGTGGGTGTTCCCCCGAGTGTGTCACTTCTGCATTGGTAAATATGACGCACAATCCGCCAGTGTACCTAGAAGACCGATTGCCAATTCTAATCTGACCTTTGTAGAGGCATGAATCTATTTCGCCTAGGTAAATGCAATTGAGCCGAGCCCTGAAGGTCATACATATGTAGTTCCAAATCACAAACTCGTATCAGCTGATTGCTTCGAATTTCCGGATCCGCCTCAAGAAGATGGTTGTCTGCCAAATGTGTAATGTTGTGGCATGTTTCGTCTCTATCTATAAGTGGTACGCGGTGAGCATAATAACACCACGATAGGATACTCGGTGGCGAGGGGGTTACAGTTGCCTTGAGATACAGACTCAATTTAAATGAAGATGCCACACTCCTACACGTCTGTGAATGCGAACCAGAGGCAAGCTGTTCTTCAACACACTGTAGATATGCACTGTGTCTTGTTTAAATCTGCTGCGGAACCATTCAAAAACGGTATGCTTATTTTTACCTGCAGAACAGAGACGCAAAATGCAGCAGCTATTTAAAGATCAGCACTTGCTGCTTTCGTCCTAGGGTTATATCACCAAATCATGGCCATCCTGATCAGCTGCATATTTCTTGAACAGCGCAGAGCCTGGACCTTTCGACGCATGGCGTGACCCAGTGCAGATATTTCTTCTAGTACAATAGTAAGGGATCTGAACCATTGCGGAGGAATGATATTACAGAATATAGAAATCGCAAAGGAGCCAGATTTCTCCTCATCAATCTTACCTTCCAAAGTTTTTAAAAACCCTCCTGCTAATTAAGATGAATTTTTTTGAATCAAAGCACTCTCCAGAGTTCACAGATTTGAATGATCATGAAAGACTACTTGGCGTTGATGATTCATCATATGGGAACTTTGATGTAGCCTCTACAAAGGTTATAGAACCCTTCAGCCTCTTAAAATCATGGCGCTTGATTTTAGCTTTCATCTGTGCCATGTACATAATCGTGTCTGCTCCTCTGCTCATACTCTTGAGCCATAGAAGTGCTCCGCTACTACCATACTGTTAGTTCAGCATGGTTCCCGAGCATGTGTTCTCAAACTGACAACTTTACAGCGCCAGTCAACGAAGTCCTTTCATATGAACGGCATTCTTTGTACTTTGGTGAAGACCCCAAATTCACTGGAGCCCCCCAAGACGTGGATGAAGCATGGGACTATCTTCTAGAGCGTATGTGAAAGGGATTTCTCGTGTAAACAAGCTTTGAATACTGCTAAAGTGTTGGTAGCTATCAATATTCATAGTTCGAGGGAGGAATTAGAGATGGCTCACGCAACTTTTGGCCAAGATATCGTGCGATTAACAAACGGGGAATATGTTTCAGTTCTATCGGTACACCACGAACTTCATTGTCTAGTGAGTTTACCTATAATCAAAGCTTGCATGTTTTTTAACTGTTGCAAGAATTCACGGCACTGACTTCCTCATAGAACGCGCTACGCATGAACATATTTCATGACTATTACTTCCCAAATGCTACAGTCGAGGAGGAAGAGTATAATATCTCACACATGAGTGAGTTCTTTTCTCTCGAATGTTCAAATCTTTGGAGCGCCGGCTAATAGTTAAAACAGCTCATTGTGTCGATACCATCCGTCGTAGCCTAATGTGCAAAGCTGATGTGAGCATTTATACGGCATACTGGATTGGAGATCATAATGCTTTGCCCAACAAAGAACTTCGGTCAGAATCAGAGACAGTATGTGTGAACTGGGAAGCGATTAGTGCATGGTCAAGAGAGAGATCGCTCCCGAGAAACAAGTATAAAACTAGACCGGGACCGTTCGAAACGGATCCCTTAGGAGCGTAATGTTTTGTACGGAGTAGCAAGATACATTAAAAAGGGATCCTGCGAGCCTGCAAGTCTCGAGAGAATGGTAACCAATAGGAGAAATTTAATTTGTGGGGGCACGCACAAGGAAACGAAATTGTCATTTTTTCATCCGAATTATATTGTGTCGTAAGAGTTGGGGCCATCGCTCACCGCACACTAAGCGATTTCGTGACAAAATCCCTGCAAAAACGATGTTTTACTATAGAAAATTAAATATCAAATAAATTCTTCAATTATTATATTATAAATCTGAAAACTTTATATAATATTAATTGATATATTAGAATTTGAAAAAAATTGATAGAATATTTTTAATAATTTTTGTTGTTGAAATATACAATCTTGAAAATGAAATTCCCACAAAATTCTAACATGTAACGCTTTTCCCATACAAAATAATAACTTTTTTCGAAATTTTTGAAAGGTTTAGCTTTAAGATCTTGCATTTCAATAACAAAAATTATTAAAAATATTCTTTTCATTTTTTTCAATAATTTTAATGATTTTTAATCTTTAAAAAAGTTTTATGAAATTTAATTGATATCTTATTGAATTAATAGGTGGTTTAAAAGTTGAATAAATCATAGTTTTTGGTGTATTTTCGCTTAGTGTGCGGTGAGCAATGGCCCCAACTCTTACCATTTTCTTTGATGATTACTCGCAACCAATCCGTTTGTTCCAACTCCTATACAGCCCTTGTAAGTAGATGTTGTAGTATACCTAGCATAATGCCACGACCTACTTAGCCTTGCAAGTGATGATAGGAATTTATCAGGCTTCATACCTACTAGGTAGGTATTGTATGGAGTAATCTGTTCCGCTAATCGACCATTGGCACGGCTTTCTACGCGGTCAGAGTGCTTACGATGATGGAATATGCACACTCGAGGCACAGTGGCCAGTTTTCTTGCTCCTCATGCTGTGTAACTGTGATGCTTCACAGACTGTTCAAACATTTCATTTTTTTTCTCAAGAAAAACTTCCCTTTCAGATCACAACTGCATATATTTCAACTTGTTGGTTGCAATGACTCCTGTAATCGTATCTCCTTATGCCCAAATCTACGGACTAGGACTTGAATCAAACATGGATTTGTCGGTCAAATTCTAGTATTTCTTACTATCTAGACAACGATTGGATTCGGCCTTTCAATCCTCCGATGACGAAAGAATAGCTGGCGTTTTAAGACGAATAGTAATTAAATTCGACGTCTCAGGATAGATCGTATAAGAAATCATTATTTTGAGAAGAGTACAGACGATATAGTACCTACGATGATAGATTCTAATGATTAATGTTATATTGTATCTAAAGAGATAGCTATATATAGAATAAAGTAATTCTTAAATATTGAGACTAGCCCTCTCGCTTAGTAGACTATAGTAGTTTACTAACTGATTAATTAAGATTATCTACGTTTAGACATTTTAAATATTGTATATTTGAGGAATTTTAAAATTGTTATAATGATCAGAAAAATCAGAAATTCTGTAAATCCTTAGTTCGAAAATTCCTTCTCGTTAACGACTGGCTATGATTATATCCAAGGTTATTTGAATAACTTGGTGAATTAATCGAATGAATAGTTTGAGAGTGGTTATATAATCATGCGATTATATAATTGTGCGACAGTTTTACCATCTTTCATTCTAATTCAATCTTCTTCTCTTTTTTGCACCGAGGTAAGGTTATCGAAAGTCAAATATTCTCAACACTGGACATTTCAGAGACCCCAATGCTTCAGAAGTTCTTTCCAACAAATAATCCAGTTCAGTACCACAGACTACTATTACTTCTTGTCTAAATAATCATGACGGAGGGTCTTGCAGAGTTCATTGTCTCAGGCATCTCAAAGCCTTGCCAGACTTGGTACAAAGTAGTCGGCGACCTCACGACGTCTCAAGTACCTCTGATCGTATTGCATGGAGGACCAGGAGCTTGTCACGGTTATCTGCTTCCATTGGAAGATCTTACGCCATCTATTCCTCTCATTTTCTACGACCAGATTGGCAATGGACTATCAACTCATTTGCCAGAGAAAGCTGGCGATGAAGCATTCTGGAGTGTCAAACTATTTGAGGACGAGGTCGATAATCTTATCAGTCATTTAGGATTAAAGGATCGATTAATTGATGTCTTCGGCCATTCATGGGGTGGAATGCTCGCAGCTGCATGGGCATCTGATCCAGCAAGATCGGAGAACATTCGTCGATTAGTCATCGCAAGTAGTCTGGCTAGTATGGAGGTGTGGAAGATTGGCCTTGATTCACTCAGGAAGCAACTTCCGTTGGAGATTCAGAAGGTCTTGGATCGTGGAGATGATAGTAAGGATTATGAGAGCCCGGAGTATGAAGCTGCTTTGGAAGTCTTCTACAAGCGACATCTGAGCCTCACGAGACCATGGCCAGCTCCTGAAGTTCAGGCTGCCTTCAACTGGTTTGCAAAAGATGCGACGACGTATGGTACTATGTAAGGCTACGAATATTCCCCTCCGTACAATCTACTGACACAATATAAGGTATGGTCCTTGCGAGCTAGTCCCCGCCGGAAATCTTCGTAACTGGACGTCGATTCCAAATTTGAGCAAGATCAAGGCACAGACACTTCTCATGAATGGAGCAGAAGACGAGGCACAGGACGTCGCAATGCAACCATTTTTTGATCACATCAAAACGGCTAAATGGATTGTCTTGGATAATGCGGCACACTTTTGTCACGTTGATCAACGAGAAAAGTTCATGAAGCATTTGAGAAACTTTCTCGTAGACGAATAGAAGCAGATCTGGTTGTAGATCTGTTTGATTAGTGGAGGTCTAAATGAGAGGATGATTTGGTCTTCTCTGCAATTCATCGTTGTCTCCTACACACACAGTGCACAACCCTTCCACATAGCCTTGTTGCGTAGGTCAAATCGATTTTTCTACCGGTACATGATGTTTTTGTGCAAATTTCTCCGGTCAAAATTAGGTCTGAAGTAACCAATTGCCGTCGAGAAGATGGTTTATACAACCCATTTGGTCATTCATTGATGAAGAACCTAGGTACACAATCAGTTAGACATAGCTAGATGGTACCTTCCAATTGCCGCTCACCCACGCTTGTTGCTAATTAATAATCCACGCTCAACTATTTTTCGAAGGATAATGTGAAAGAGAATTACGTTAATTTTGCCGAGAAATCCCATTATTATTTTAGATTTCTGGGGTTTATTTTCGACTGTGTACAAACACAGACATATGTAAGTACAGGCATTCGTACTAACGGATTTCTACTCCGTTGTCACGTTCCGTTGACTTGTTTAGTCGACTTGCATGTCTCATACGTAATAGTTATCTATACGATCGTTTTCATAAAGCGAGTTACGAATATCCATCCGAGTATCGAGGTAGAAATTCACCTCGGAGCTTGAGACTAATTAATATTATATCTGCATACGCCCTCTTTTTCTATTAGAGGAGGAGTAGTTCTCTATTTAATTATATATATAACCCTAATATTCATTTGTTATCTAATTAATACTTCTACTCGTAACATACTAATCGTTCTATATGATGATATTCTTATTTTTGTTCTTCTTCTAAATCAAATTTTAATTTATCAAGCGGATTGAAAATTGAGAGACGTCTGAATTTAGATATATAAGCTTGACTAAGTGTCTCTAAGGGCCCCTCTCTCTATTGGTTTCTCTTATCGGTTATTCCGTATATTATTCGTCGGCTGATCGCAAGGTGTACTATCATATCATTTGTATGTGTTCCACAGTAGCAGCGACATGGGAAAAGCATGACTATTATTTGCCTCGGCGGCACAGCATTCAAAGACAAACTACCTGGATTTACTAGGCCCCCCTCAAAGAATCTCTTCCAAGATACCGTCCCAATTTTTTGTTTGTTTCATCATTGAAGCGTGGCACTGAGTCATGGAGGATCAAGGTTATGAATCTCTCCCAAGAGATGCCACCAAAGAATCGTGAACAAATAAAATAAGTCGAAACACAAAAGTTCAGATTGGCTGGGTCTAGTTTTCGGCTTAAAACGCAATGGCTGTCTACTTCGCGCTCAATCAACAGATATGATTAATGCCTCTTTCGAAGTATAAGGAAAGATCTTTTGAAAAGTATTAAAAGCGCTTTTGGGGGGAGACAGGTGTAAGGCCTATTTTTCATTTGAAAAATCTTAGTACTTTTTTGATTGATTTTTTTTAATTAGTAATTCCAAAAATCAAAAAAACCTCAAATATTAAAGAAATTCGTCTTTTTGCCTTTTGGAAGAGGCTGGTGGGCTGGTGTTGTATGCCAGCACGACGCACCCTGTTGTTAACATGTGGCTATGAAACATGTATAGTTGTAACGCTTGTTTGCGATTTCTATGAAATCAATCTGATATTTTATATAGCATAGGTACCCAAAGAACACAGCAGATCAAAGTGATATATCCGAAAATCGAAACAAATACCTATTTATTTGAAAATCACGTGAAAGTTAACCTCCTTCGTTAACTTCAACCACAACCATCTCTTTCAACATTCCCAGTTATTTTCACTTCACTTCACTTCACTTCAATACCAACTCCAAACCAAAGCAGTGAACAAGGATAAATCTCACTAGAGTAATTCCCTCCACTTCTCCACCCAAAGCATCGAAATCGGAGACGTAAGGCCACCGCTTCGACTTCACCATCACATGTAGCCACGAACGCTTTGCCGTGACATAATATCCCACTTCAACCCAGAGGATTTTCCAGCCCCCCTATCATCTCAATACCACAAATAACTTCTAGAGAGTAACATCGATTCCAACAACGAAACTATCCCAAAAACTCAATACAAAATCGAAGATATGATCCGTGAAGCCGGCTGACGAAAATTTGCTCCCCTACTCTCGACTCGAGCCCAAATTTTCAAATTCGCCTACCTTTCTCACTGGACCCCAAATTTGGAATCCTTCCATTTTCGATTCATGATCCATACTGAGAAAAGAGATACAAATTTAATACAAGAATATCACTCCGTAGTACCACAGACATCCCATCTCAGAATCTAGATTCAGGAATCACTTTTCCTTTCCCCAGACACATAGTACCCAGCACAGGAAACCAGAATCATATTCATCGAGAAACTTATAAGAACAAGGCATATTGCGCAAGTTTCGATTGAGGGAAAGGAGATATGCTATAAGATGCTGGAACTACTTGTAGAAAGACGGAGTAGCGAGATAACGAATGCTTGGGGAAGATTTCGGGATCGAGATATGCTTTTTTGATTAATGCTTCTAGGTTGGGTGGGTTCGTGGTTGATAGATGGGTTAAGGAGGATGAGGATGAGGAGAGAGATATGGAGTCGGATTCTCGAAGAGTATATTTCGCATACAATGAATTTGAGCAAATCTCAGGGGAATAGCAAAGCTATCTTTCACAGTCAGAGAAGAAAATAGATAACACAGATTAAACACAATATCAAACTACCTACTACATAAAATCGAGATAACATAAGGAGATGAAAAGCCAAAGAACATATTTATCAATAGTTCGACACACAATTGCTCTTTGGTTGATGTTGAAGATAACTAAACAAATATATAAATAGAAGAACAGTTACTGAAGACAAAGACTAGGGATGAGCAAGAATCGATGAGGATTTTTGGATTTCTTGGGGATTTGAAAGCTTGATGATTAGGGAGATGAAATTAATAACCACCATCACCTCTGTTAGTTATTACCTAGTATGGAATCACTAAGTAATGAGTAACCATTATCAACAAATGAAAAATGAACAAACAATAATCCATCTAATCATCCCAGTCCAGTCCAAATCAAATCCATTGAATGCCTCATTCCAGTTTCTAGGGTAGTATAGTATTCTAAATTTCTTATACACACAGAAAAATATTTTAATCTTACTTTTGATGATTGAGTTTCGATCTAGGTAGTTTAGCCTACCACCCACATCGGTAATACATTGAGTCAATACAACTGAAAATCAAAATCTATATAAACATCACACACATTGGCGGTTAGCCATGGTAAATCTATCTCAATCTTAGCCCCAAATTTCACCAAAACCATCATCGTAATCTCTTGACCTCTAATTCCCAGATCCAATCCAATGCATTCCAATCCAATCCAATTCTCCTCTCCTCTCCTCCCTCACAACCGTCTCCATCTGATAAATCTATAAATCTCAGAAACCCCATCCCAAGACTCATTCTCAGAAGATATCCATCAAAAATAAAACAATCATATTACATCACATCACAGAAACATAAAACTCCATACCCAGTCATTCATCTGATCATAATATCTATTCGAAATACCTACATATTACATATTTTATCCATCCTATCTACCTATCGACCCACTTCTATGTAATCCACCGCCAGCACCACTACCGCCAACCAGTCATAACCTTTTCTCTCCAGATCATTAAAAATCATCGTATGAATATCCTCTCTTTACTGTTTCTCCAACCTCCCATATACACACCCCTCCTCCCTTTGCTTTTTTTCTGCCACCCTCCTCCCCTTCCACAATCCCTCTATAAACAAAAGACACATACCCAAACAGACCACCCATATATCCATCCATCCTCATCATCGCGATAAACACACATATGCGAAAAATTAAGCCAATGAAGAAAAATTTCCCATTTTTCTTTCTTGAGATGAATCCAAACTCCTACACACCATACCATCATGCAAATACCTCCTGAATGAAGAAACAAATCAACTGGATATCATCTCTGCAAACGTAATCTTTCTGATCGCGAACAAAAAGTGTGCGATCCCCCTTTCTCTCAGCTCACCCCATCATTATGCACAAATAACGCTGAATTTTGTATGTCCCCTTGAAGCGCTCACACCCTCACAATTCCATATGTAATCGACCTCCGCCACCAACAATCAATTGAAAGATCCGTAACTCTTAAAATCATACCCATTCGTAATCCTGTCCTTCCCCTTCTTAGCGAATTCCTTCCCCGCACTTCTCGAATTCTTTGCATTTCCATTCGTCTTGCCAAGAACTGCACCCCCTTTTCCGTTTTCCTTTTGTGCCCCACCATTAACCGAGACTTGCGATCCCTGCGGTAAAGTATTTTGACTAGCACTCATTCCATATTGGTTAACCTGCGCCATCAAAGATTTTCTCGCTTGTTCCATTGCGTCATCCGAACTATTGTCGGAATCTGAATCTGAATCGCTACGAGCATCTTTAATTCTCTTAGCTGCGGCGGCGGCAATGGCTGCTGAGGCAACCAAACCATTACTTTGAGTTAAAGAAGGGATTTTTGAGCTTGCTGGAACTGGAACATCATCATCGTCAGAGCTATCATCACTGCTACTCTCATCATCTTCCGATTCCGAGAATTCCTTGTTCAATAATTGAGATGAAAGTTGTAATTTTGACTTGGCGAGTTGACCATTTGACGAAGGTCTAGGTTTGAACATGGCTCCTTTCTGGCTATTCAGAGATGATAAACTTGCGCCGAAACCAATCGTTGGTCTAATAATCGGTCGCTTGAGGGGTGAAGAAAATGATGGACCTTGAGCTTCGAAGATATCAGATGTTAGTTGTTGATCAACTTCGTCTTGGGTATTATCCTCATCGCTGCTGGAGTTCTTACGTTGATTTGTGGTCTTGATAGGAGAGACCATATTTCTCCGGGCATGGCTTGGCAATTCCGGGCTTAACCGTTGAGCTGGAGCATCTGGCATTTTCACATCCTCATCATCACTACCGCCTTCACCTTCATCTTCTGAACTGTCTTGAGTCTCTTTGATTTCTGTTTTAACCTTAGTGTCATTGTCCTTGTCAGAGGTATCGTCTCCCGATTCTTCTTCATCAGAAGATTCGTCCTCTGATGAAGAAGCTGAATCCTGAGTGTGCTTGTTGAAGGATTTACGCTCATCGCCAGATGGTGCATTAGAATGAAAGACAACCGGAGATCGACTATCTCGTGGTGATGACTGATTTTCACCCATCTCGACATCTTCATCAGATTGGTCGTTGGGATCGTTCGATTCTTCGATTTGTCGATTTGGAGGACTAATAGATCTTTTTGGCTCTTGTTTGACTGTGACCTCTTCTCCAGAATCGGAATCTTCAGAACTAGAACTATCTGAACTTGGAGGGAGTGGAATTTCAGCAGACTTGGGTGGCGACTTTGGTTTCTCTAAGATGATATTAGTTTGTAATCATTAATTAACGATTCATTTGCATCCGTGTATGACAGAGAGATAAAATTCATAAAATTGATTTGATGACTTTCGGCATTATATTTACATACCTTTGACCGGGACTGGACGGCCGGGTGTAGATGCCGTTGCCTTTTTTGGTTCTGGTGTAATAGTCTTTCTCTCCAAGGGTATCTTCTCGCTAGAAATAATCTTAAGTGCCGGTTGAGGGATAGGCTTAGGTGTTGCAGATCGTGCCACCGAACTCGCCCGACCCGCTATCAATGGTGGTTGACTCATAGCAGATGGTTTTAGTGATAGCTGTCTGACCGGAGTCGCACTACGATCAGGTCCAGGGCGCTTGAATGTTTTGGGTAGAGGAATAGGCGTTTGATTTGGGGCTGGGGTCTGACTAGAAGTAAGCGCGGGTGTTGTTTTCTCTTTTGGTGTATCAACGGAAACTGTCTTCTGGTGTTGTGGCTTTATGGGAGTATTCGTCTTGTCAAGGTCAAAGGAGACTCGTCTAGGTCCCTTAGATGGTAATGGCATCTGAGCTTCTAGACTGGTATCCTTAGGAGCTGGGGCTCCAGGGGAAGAGCTTAACACACTTTCAGAAGAACGTGATGTTTTCAAAGATGACTTCTTTCCTCTTGGATAATGGGGCGTGGAAGACTGGCGAGGAAGTATCGTGCTGGGAGTACTGCGTTTATTGACCGGAGTACCCTTCCTACTTTCTTGTGGAGTTTCGGATGTTCTCTTGGAGCCTTCGGGAGCTTTCGACTTCCTAAACTCCTCTTTAGCCTTTTTAGCTGCCTCCTCCTCGGCCTTCTGCATCTCTATTCTGTCATCTTCTTCGATCTGTTTGCGCAATTTCTCTTTCTCATCCTTCAGTTTTTGAGCTAGAAGAGCAGCGTCTTCTTTTTGTTTTCTTGTAGCTAGCCTCTGCTTTTCTTCTGCCTTACGTTCCTCCGATTTCTCTTTACGCATTCGTTCAGCTTTTGCAGCCACGGCTTCTCTTTCGGATTCACGTCGACGTTCCTCGGCAGCTTTTGCAGCCGCAGTCCGCGCCTCCTTTGCTGCCTCCTCACTTTCTTTCTTCTTGCGCAATTCTTCCTCGCGTATCCTACTCTTTGGCGTCAAGGGTAGCTCATAAGGAGTTGAAACAGATTCAGAATTCTTCGAAAGATGGCGATTTTGGTTTGAGGGTGAGTTAGCTAGCCTCTCAAGGCCAGGTAATCCTGCTGATGAAGACTTTTTGAGTTTAAGTTTTGATTGTGGAACCTTTATTTCCTCGGAATCCGAACCAAAGTCGTCATAAATGTCTCCCTCGTTCCTAGGTGATCGATTCTTCGCGTTGCCTGATTTTGCGGCTCGCGCAATTGTTTCCGAGGTCTTTGGCTTCTTGATAGAACTTGAGTTGGGATGAGGAGGGAGTTGTGGTTCGTTTGCCATTGGACTTGTCGCAGTCGTTGAAACGGATCGACCTCTATCGGTAGCTCTCTGAATGTGATAGCTTGCACTTTTTGCTGCTGTGATGTCCTTTGGTGTGCCCTGCTTCCGTGGCGGGGGCTCTTTAAACGGGCTTACAAGTTCTTTTGGATCGCTGTTGGGTTGCGCATTGGTATTCTTGGTAGATAACTTTGTGATATAATTAGTTATGGCATGACTTTGGCGGACAAAACGTCTCTCCACTGGCAGTGGAGATGATGGAGTTCGGGTGTCGGAGATCATGGGAGAATCCTCTCTTACATTTGGCACAACATCATTGTCCCCATCCTCATGACCTAATATAGCACTCTGTTGCGAATCGGGAATTGTGGCTTCTGGGTTCTCTGGTATACCTTCCAACCTTCCACCGGTATATGACTCTAGTTCTCGGGAAGGAATTGGTTTATCTGGATCTATGGCCGTTCTCTGACGTTTTTGTGGATTCCAGAATGATTCGGCAGTTCCATTGATCGGTGACCTATCTCTTTTCTGACCAAGAACACTCATGGGGTTGAATCGAAGAGCTGACGTTGGAGGAAGTGAGTCTCGAACATTTGGTTTATTAGGAGCTTTTATGATTCGAATAGTAGACATATTGTTAAATAGAGGTCCTATCAGATCGTTCTGAGTGACGTCAAATAATTCATCGTCCATGCACTTCTTAATCGCGAGTGGTCTAGATGAAGAAGCAGTCAGTATGTATAAACTTCAACTTTTCCACCCAGACATTCCCAAAATCATGTTCGCAGAAGCGCAAACACTACTTACTGGCCATAATTGATTTCGTGAACTCTTGAAGCTTCTGTGCAAAACTCTCTGATGGTAATATTTGGTGATGTAATAACACGAAAGCAACGAATTGGACGATCATTTTCCTCTGCAGCATCTGGTGTAAATACTTTCACTCTGAGTGAAAAGCCCGGCGAGGCGGGGGGGTCAATTAAGGAATTCATCATGAATATTTCTGATCACTTCAAGAAGTTAAGCTTATGCGAAACAGCAGAAGTGTGCTGATATGCAAACAAGAGAGACAAGGCCAAAAATCAACGGCATTGAGAAGATTGAAGAAGTGCAATTGGTTCGGCGCACTATGAAAGCTAATTGCTTTGCTTTTTCAATAGTGGAGCACTTTAAAGTCCAAAAAAGAAATCGCGCCAAAACGCGTGGAAAGTTGGAAGGTTGAAGCTCTTGGGGAAAAAAATCTCGTGGGCGGTGGGCGATAAGGTTATCGTGAATGGGAAATCGTGTTTTGGTGGAGCTTTTCCGATAAGAGATGAAGAGATGAAGAGATGAAGAACTTGAAGGACTCCCAAGGTTCGTTCTTATTAGGAAGAGAAAAAGAAGCTTGATATTGATTGATTCTCTTTTGAAGAAAGGAAGAAGCTGGAGTGAAGAAGTTTGTGTTTGTAGATTGGAATTCAGCTTCAAAGATTCACTACCCGTTTGTTCTTCCACTCACTCATAGCTCGTACTTATTTTGTACCTACCTAGTAGGTAGTATTTCTTTTCTTTTCTTTCTCCTCTCTATTTGCTTTTTATTTCCAAACTTCACTTCACACACTAGGGTAGGAGGGTAGGTTATTCTTATCTTATATACTCGTACTCAGACTCCATACTGAAAGTTCTGAGCTTATCCTTGAGAGCGGAATTTCTTTTTGGTTTCATCCGATAATCCATGGCTTACAGTCAAGTGTCTCGAGAGTGCATAGCTCGAGTATTGCGTTGTGTCATGATTGAATGATTAGACTATGACCTGAGTACTTGGATATTCGATTGAGTATATCTAACATCTAAGCTATTGGACTGTTTGTCATGATAACGACGAGATGCTTCATATGCCAGGTGACCAGGTGCCCCTCGATATCATCATGTCGTGCTCTTCTTTGACGCAAGGTTTCCAGATATACCTAGATAAACTCGTCCCAGCGCAACATATCTTCTCAGTCCTAGATCGAATCTGTCCTCCTTTTTCAATATGTCGAGTAGCTATCCAAAATATCTCAATGCCAAATCTGCCATATCCAATTCGCAAGATATAAAATCAGCAACCCAATTCCTGTTGCGACGACCGCCATTCCAACTAATACCCATTGTCTAAACTTAAAAGCATCCGAAACCTCCATCTTCATCATTTTCTTCTGTTTGGTATTCCAATGCCATGGCTCCTCTTCCTTTCTCTTGATCCCTTCCGCATTTTGTCCCCGAGATGGTGATTTGATATATGCATATGGTTGTGGCTTAAATATCAATCTGTGAAGAAATTCTTGAATGCGCCCGATGAAAGTATTGGGATACGTCCGCGGTTCCGAGTGTTGGTGAATGCGAAGATAACTATTACGGCTATCGACGATCAAGAGAGATATGAGAAATGAAATGAAGGTAATAGGGGCGATTATAAGCTGTTTGTTTGATTAGAATTTTCATGGCAGATATTGGAATCAGGTGAAGATAGCTTACCCTCACGACAGCACTTTCCATGGGAGCTTCGGGAAGTATTGGAGAGTGGAGAATTGGTGAAGGAGATTGTGATAATGCTGGCGATCGACGTGTTGGAGATGACATTCTGACGGGTGAATTATATTATTGATTTTGAGGTCTTTGGATAGACCATTGAAGAATAGTTTTTACATCGCTTTATATATTGTTATGAAGAGTGAAAACTTTTTGATTGTCTTCTTCGTTGTTAATCGAATCCCCGCCAAGATATGTCGGCACTGCGGAAACACAAAGCTCAGCCTTGCGAGTGACGTTTATCTGTGGAAATAAAAATTGGCGCATCGTACTCGGTGCGAGAAGGCAAATACAAAGCACGTGATGATACCCTGCTCACTTCTATTCATCAGGTGACAGATGTAAGGATGTTCAAGAAAAAGATAGATTTATATATTTAGAAAGTTATAACATCAACAAGGTTCGTATCTACCTAGGTACTTGATGCTATTCCAGTATTGGCAATCTTGACGTTCAACTGTAACCTTCTTATTATTTAGCTTAGTTCAAGGATAAGCACCAGGGTCCACGTAGCTTCCAACCATGCGACTGGTATGTGGCTGAATGCAGTTGCCTGTCTTCGTCTCGACTCTCGAGTCCCAACATCAACATTAGATCAGCCAATGTACCTACTTTTGGTAATCATATCGTTGACGATCATGATATTTCCAGAGACACTTGTGAGCCTGATTCAGAATTTCGTTCCCTGATGCCTCATGTCCATCTGTTCACCACCAGGGCTCTTAAAGGGTGGGCCGCACAGCCAATGTCCCCTCATATAATGCATCAGCATATTCTTCGTTGAACAAGTCGAACCCAAGTGAGTTTTCTTTCTTCAGATGAATTCTACAGCTTCAGGATATCAAATCAACAATACCTACCGGCAATGATTTGTCGCGGACTTACAGTGCGAAGAATGCACATCGAGTCTATGAGCTCAGCCACACCCACAATTCGGGATCACAAAAGGCCAATCACTATTCAAATATCTCAGAGGATTGTTCCACTCGCACTGGATGCCCAAAGAGGCAATTCCCACGTCGGTTGATATTCATGGCGACGACCTATCCGCGAACAGTTGTTTGTGATGATTTTTTTCGTAAGACTTGAATAATTCGCCGTTTTGGGAAGAGTTGCGATCAGAATGCCTAGTGGGCTTACTTACAGCTGAAGAATGATTCCCCTTTGATATAAAACTATATAAGTATGAATCCCAAGAAATGTTAAGTGTTAATTTCTTGGTACTTTTTTAAAAAAAATCGTTTCTTGTTCGACAGTGAAAGATGACAGCAGCAATTCCTGGGCCAAAAGCCAAACCCCTCGTGGGAAATTTGTTGGATCTTAAGGATGAAGAAGCTCCACTTAGAGCACTCGAACATATGGCCGTCGAATATGGCCCTATATACAAATTGACCAGAGGAAGTACTAGAGTAATCGTCGTTAGTTCCGTGGCAATGATGGAAGAACTTTGCGATGAGAGTCGATTTGAAAAGGCACCGCCAATGGCACTCTCAAAGAAAGACGATCGACCATCTGGTATGTTTACAGCAACGAATGATGATCCGGATTGGGGTCAAGCACATAGAATTCTTGTCCCTGCTTTTGGACCATTAGCTATTGAGCAGATGTACGATCGTAAGTTATTCATGCTTCTATCATCCAAAGGTACATATATACTGACACAAAAAGAAATGCAAGATATCGGAAATCAATTACTCTTGAAATGGGCTAGATTAGGTCCTTCGGAGCCTATAACAATGACGGATGATTTTACTAGACTAACTCTAGATACGATTGCGCTTTGTACAATGGATTTCAGGTTCAATTCTTTCTATACAGATAAGATGCATCCATTTGTTGATGCAATGGTGGGATTTCTCTCCGAATCCGGGGATAGAGTTAGACGACCAGCAATTGTTACAAGTTTGATGAGAAAGAAGAACGCTAAATTCCAAAGAGATCTGGATTATATGTTTGAGGTTTCTCAAGGCTTAGTACAACATCGAAAACAAACCCCTACAGATAAAAAGGATCTTCTTAATGCGATGCTTAGTGGGAAAGATCCTCAAAGTAAGGATGAAATGAGAGATGATTTGATCATAGCTAACATGATCACATTTTTGATCGCTGGTATGCTATAAGTTGAAAAGCTCATTGCTCGTGGCTAACATAGATATCAAGGTCATGAAACTACATCTGGGTTGCTCTCATTTGCTTTCCTCAATTTAATGAAAAATCCGGATGCATATAATGCAGCTCAGCGCGAAGTGGACCAAGTCGTCGGTAGAGGACCTGTTCGTGTCGAGCATCTCAATAAGTTCGAGTACTTGAATGGTGTACTCAGAGAATCGTTACGACTCACGCCGACTGCCCCAATTGTGTCAAAACGGCTTGTTAAGGGTGTCAGTGGAGAAAACGCGACTCTTTCCCGTGGAAAATATAAAATCGAACCAACTGACAAGATTATTGTGCTACTTGGAGCTGTGCAACAGGATCCTAATGTTTATGGATCTGATGCAAATGAATTTAAACCAGAACGTATGATGGGAGATAGTTTCAAGAACCTACCAAGTGCGGCTTGGAAAGTAAGTGTCTAGATTAACCTCATGTGACCAAGCTAACATAATCAATAGCCATTTGGAAGTGGAGTTAGAGCATGTATTGGACGTGCATTTGCATGGCAAGAAGCATTGATGATTACAGCTATGCTTTTACAAAATTTTGATTTTCGTCTCCTGGATCCGGGATATAAATTACGCATCAAGCAAACACTCACTATCAAACCACAAGATCTTATAATGCGAGCTACACTGCGTCATAGTATGACAGCTATGGATCTTGAGCATCTCCTAAGGGGTTCAACATCGTCAAGCATCAAGTCGCCTGAAAAGTCCACGGCGCCTTCTCCAGAACTACCAAATATCTCGCGCCTAAAGTTGGATTCCAAACCCATGACAATACTTTATGGGTCAAATACAGGGACTTGTCTTGCTTTCGCACAAAGAATGGCTTCGACAGCTGCTGGACATGGTTTTGAAGCCAAAGTTTTGGAAATGGATAGTGTAGTTGGAGCATTACCTAAATCTCAGCCTATTGTTATCATTACAGCTTCATATGAGGGCCATCCACCAGATAATGCAGCTAGATTCGTCAGTTGGTTAGAGAAACTCGAGCCAACTGCACTTTCAGGAACACAATTTGCTGTTTTTGGTTGCGGTCATAGTAAGTCAAATCATCTCATTGCTATGTGATTGAACCTAACGAGTACCAGGTGATTGGAGAGCTACATTTCAAAAAATCCCAACGATAGTAGATAATCGCATGGCCGAATTCGGAAGTCTAAGACTTGTACCTAGAGGTCTTTCAGATGCAGCCAAAGGAGATTTATCCGGCGATTTCGATGACTGGTTGAATAAAACCTTTTGGCCAGAAATCAGCCGGGGTTCGAAATCTCAAGGGGCAGTTTTAGAGTCAGGAATGCATCTTGAGATTTCTACTCAACCAGGGGTTACGAGTCTCCGACAAGATGTCCAAGATGGTGTTGTAATTGAAGCTAAAGTATTGACAGCACCAGGAGCACCTGAGAAACGTCATCTGGAAATTGAACTTCCTCCCGATATGACATATGAAAGTGGAGATTATCTTGCTGTCCTTCCGGTGAATTCGAACCAGAATGTTAGAAGGGTTATGAAAGTCTTTGGACTAGTTTGGGATTCGACCATTGTTTTCAAAAGTCAGAGTTTGGGCACTTTACCACTTGATACTACGCTTTCGATTAGAGATATTTTGGGAGGATATGTGGAACTATTCGAACCTGTTAGTAGAAAGGTATGTACTCCATATGATGAAGTTCGCCTCACCATAAACTGGGGCACTAAACGGAGAATAGATGCTTCAAACAATGGCCAATTCCACCACTGACCAAAACTCGAAACAACACCTCGCAACCATGTCTACAGATTCAGAAATCTATGAGCAACAAGTCCTCACCAAACGTCTAAGTATTATTGACCTCTTAGAAGCACACCCATCAGTTAAGCTCAATTTTCGCGATTTTCTTTCTTCTCTCTCCCCCCTACGAGTCCGCTACTACTCCATCTCCTCCTCTCCTCTCCATTCCCCAAACACATGCACAATAACCTACAACGTTCTCTCCATCCCCTCTTTCTCCGGTCCTGGCCACTACGCCGGTATCTGTGGAACCTACCTCTCCTCTCTCCTCCCCGGAGATCCTATCAAAGTCTCCGTCAGACCTAGTAGCAAAAAGCTCTTTCATCTCCCCTTAGACATTAAACGAACTCCTCTCCTCATGTTTTGCGCCGGCACCGGGATTGCCCCTTTCAGAGGCTTCATCCAACAACGTGCCATGCAAGCCGCTGCATCACCAGACCGCAAACTGGCTCCTGCGATTCTATTCGTCGGATGTAGATCTTCGACATCCGATCGTCTATATGCGCGGGAATTCGATAGATGGGAAGACCTCGGGGTAGTCGATATCCGATATTCTTTTTCGCGCGATTCGGATTCTCCGCCGAGTGAAAGAGAGACGGTGAGGATGGGACAGGGATATAAGTATGTGCAAGAGAGGATGTTGGCGGATAAGGATAAGAAGGATATTTTGAGATTGTGGGATGAGGGTGCGAGAGTGTATGTTTGTGGTGGAGGAGCATTTGTTAAGGAGGTAGGGAAGGCAGCGAGGGAAATTGTGAGGGAGAGGTTGAGGGAGAAGGGGGTGATGATTGAGGGAGGGGAAGAGGAGTTGGAGGAGAGGTTTAGAAATGGGTTGGTGGATAGATGTGCGACGGATATTTTTGGGTAGGGGGTTGGGTTGTGGATTAGTGTGGTGGTGGGGTGGGCTTATATATGTGTGTGTGTATGTGTGATTTAGAGTTTTAATGAGCTTGAATGTACGTGTGTATTTGACTTGATATGATAATGCTAAATAAGTCTTGTTGAAAAGCCGATGAGGAGAATAATATGAAAGATTCTTTTGTGGTTTATTCCACTCTCGTAATCTCAATCCAAGAACCTAGAATCTGTAATAATAAATAAGTAGATGTGATGCAGTGGCAACTGCAACCTTATATATAAAGTCTTTCTTGCAGTGAGTCGAGTCTCCAGATTTGAGATGGGATGGGAAACGAAGATTAAGGATTTAGTGGAAATGTGATCTTCGGTGTTGTTTAGTTGGTGGAAAGCGTGAGTAGGAGTTTGGAAGGGTATCAAGAGGAAGATTGTGTATGTATATGTATACTTTTAATCTGTAGAACAGAGTCTTGCATTTATGATATTTATGATTCAATAATTTGAAGGATAATAAATAGAAATGTCAATGGCCGTTTATTCTCTCACCTAGGTGAGTGAGATTATTATCCCTACTCCTCTCTGACAGGGCTCCCCTATCAAACCCCCTCCACCCAACTCCATCCAGTAAGTAAACCAACTCTCCAGATCCAAGAAAATCAGAATCATTCATTCACTCCCTCCCCTGCCCAAAAATATCAGAAAAGGCCATGCACCTCACCACACGGTCCACACCACACACACCAAACCCGCAAAAAAATTGTTTCCGGTACGGGGAATTGAACCCCGGTCTCCCGCGACCTGATTGAAACTGTAAAGCTTCGGATGAGAGGCGGAAATGCTAGCCACTACACCATGCCGGATTGATTGGTTGATTGTATTTGATGAAGAGGACCGTTGAGAATGGAAATATAAAGTAAATGTGTTTAGCGAGAAAAGTTTTCCGGAAGAGTTTTAAGCGAGGAGGGCGGGGCGGGTGTCCACTTCTTGGAGATTTAATTTGATTTGGTCTAAGGGGGGATGGGTGTTAGAAGTTTGTATTGGGGTTGGTTTGATCTTTGATTCAATTCATTTTATTTTATTTTATTTATTTTATTTTATTTTATTTTATTTTATTTTATTTTATTTTATTTTATTTTATTTTATTTTATTTTATTTTATTTTATTTTATTTTATTTTATTTTATTTTATTTTATTTTATTTTATTTTATTTTATTTTATTTTATTTTATTTTATTTTATTTTATTTTATTTTATTTTATTTTATTTTATTTTATTTTATTTTATTTTATTTTATTTTATTTTATTTTATTTTATTTTATTTTATTTTATTTTATTTTATTTTATTTTATTTTATTTTATTTTATTTTATTTTATTTTATTTTATTTTATTATGATGTGGTGTGGTGTGGTGTCACTGATGTGGTGATGATGGTAAAATCGATGTTCGAAATTGGGGTGCGGTGCGGTGCTAAGAGAGTATGCAGCTAGCTTATACGTCTGCGCTTCGATGATCGATCGTGGGGATCGTAATCTTAGCTACCTACTAGGTACTTGATATTGCTTATGTCTTATGCAGTGAGGATGTTGATCGGATCAGGAATGATATCTATAAGTTTAATTTGATGTTCTGGTAGATGTGAACTATCTATTGTTTGGTCTGCAAAAGAGTAATTTCTCACTTACATCAGGGAATAAAACAACGCGTTTCTACGAAAGTAAATGATGTGAGAGTGGATTGTTTTATGTTTGTATGATTATCATCGTGGGGTACCTGTTAGTGGCGGATGAAAGCATTCACTGGATGATTTTGATGGTGAGATTCTATTGGATTCAAGCTCTGGCTACAATGGCAATGATGTTTTGATCGTATTCTACATTTACTTCTCTTGGTCTGAATACTCGTCTGTAATACCATTGTCATCATAAAACACAATAACTTCTCTTTCCTCACTGTAGCAGTTATCATCCAGCATGTTTTCCCCAGATTGAAAGATCTCCATCCAAGAGATAGTATCCTGTGGAGACAGGATCGAAAATATTGATGCTAGAGACCGAAGCAAAGATATACAGTTCGCCACGTTGAACCATCTTCCACAACTCACAGCCCATCTCATCACAAAATCTATGTGAATCGGCGAGACTTATCATTCCTGACAATTGGAGTAATCCAACCCGGATCAAGATAATTACTGGAGTAAGGATTACTTCGAGGCCGACCAGTGGTGTTATTCGGGCTTATGAATCCTGCGGTCCAAGAATCACCTGTGGAAGGGTGGGTGAACCATGATGATCGGTAGTTGGAATAGTTGGCGGTTTGAGATGTGGGGGCATCGTTGTTTTCGGGACGGGTAGTTGAGAAGTAGGATCCCATGGTTGGTTGTTGCGTGTTGCTTTGGGATGAAACGTTTGAGGGAATGTGATGTTATGATGAGGAGAATTTGGGTATCGTTATAGAAAGAATAGCAGTACGGGGTAAACTGCTTTTATGCTTCAAAGATGTATAGACTAGAAAGCAAAGAAAGCTCCAGTAAATTTCTTGGTTTGATCTGAATGATTCCAGAACTTTGATTGCTAGAATGGTCTGCGGAAATATGCACTTCGATAATCTTCTCGCGTCTCATCGTTTCCTCTGACAAAATGATCAAACTGAGCCTATCTCATAAGAATAAAGGTGATTACTCCATATTCACAATAGAAAAGCGCTAATGGAAGCACATTTAAATACACCAAAAGTCAGAATTCACTACCAAAAGATGTATCGCAAAACTTATTCTTCATAATGACTCTAAGCGAAGTTGTATAATCTGTCCTACTTTCATCATGCACATCTCACGAGCGCTTATTGCGAGATTGGTTCCAAAATACTCACTCCCCCATGATTCAATCCAAGTACTTTTTCTTGTCTCCATTTCCTCCCTTCTACTTCCAATTCATTCAAAAAATCTGGATGAGGAAATATCACTTCGGCGTGAGTTTAACATTTACTTCTACCAATCATACCGAGCCGGGGGCAAACCAGCAGTTTCAGCTCTATCAAACTTGGATTTTGAGGACCATTTCGAGGAGAAGATCAGGCTGAACTTGAGTAGTAGGAAGAGTTTTAACTCGTGGTATGAGTACTCTCGGGTTGAAAATAGCTCGATCTGACTATGAATGAAAATATGGAACTCATGGTGTAGGTGGCTGGGTGGACCTGATTTACTGAGATGTAGACTACCTGGTTGAAAATGAACTTTGTTCTTTCATTAGAAGATTAAACTGCTAGGTGTGAGTGCAATTGAGAACTTCCTTCACAATGAGGACTCGATATAATAGGAGTGTATGTGGACAGCATCCACGGATTCTAGAAGTTTGATGGACATTCATCAATTCTAGGCTATTGTGCTTCCATATCGAGACATACATGCTTATAGCACTGGCTGACATGGTCCACCATATACACTTTTAGATTCCGAAAAAGAAAGGAAATGCACCAAAGAACAAGTAAGATCTATCAAACTAGTTCTTTTGATTTGTGTAGCTAATCATAATTCGACTTCCAATAAGTACCACAGCTATAAGTGTGTCATCCCAAACTAACCCCGCAATATCTCTGGCATTCAAATTCGTATCAAGGCTCATATCAATTCTCATCCAATGCTCGCAATGAGCCGATTTCGCACTTATTTTTGCAAGACCCAACCCAAAGCTACAGTCAAAAAATGCCACCGTGTTACCCGTACCCAACCGCATCACTAGACGTACAAGTTGAGAAAACTCTCCTCATCCCAAATCTCATGCCAAACTTTCCAAGAAACAAACGCATAGACCATCAGAACAGCCGAACCAACCCCAGTAGAGACTCCAAACACGTAAGAGGAGAGATGCCCCCAGAACATGCCCAAGACAAATTTATAAATGCCAGACTTGACTTCTCGGTTCCGCAAATTTTGCAACCCTGCGACCATTTCCAACGCAACCCTATTTCGCATACAGGTAGTCGAAGTCAGACCGTCGAGATGCGGTTTCCAGAGAGTCAGAAAATTGGTATCGCGGTTGTTGACTTCGAAGATACGGCGGATGAGGGAGAGAACCTTGTTGTCCTGGTTACGCGGGGGAGTTGGAGGGGAGAGATAGTGAGATGTAGATTTTGTGGATCGAACTTTGTCGATGGGTGAGGGGGGTGTAAGGTTCGAAGATATGGGCAGCGCACTTTCGGCACTAGTGGGCTCTTGCTGTGGAGTGGATGATAGAGGTAGGCGACATCTTTGGCCGGGCGAGTAATGACCACAATATGTCATTCCTGGTGGCGCAACATTGAAAGCGGGATTTCGGCTGTGTGGTCGTACTTCGTTTTTAAGAGAAGATAGCATGTTTGTAGATTTGACTTCGGAATCAGAAACTATGATTTTAGGGTTTGCATTGCGAGGCTGCATACTTGCGATTTGAGTTGTAAAGTTGCGTGTAGATTTGGTGTCTTGATTTGATTCGTATGAGGAGGAAGCCGTTGTAGAAGGTTTTATCAAATCAAAGTTCAAACTATTTGTATGCATATGTGGTTTCAGACGAAACACGCGGAACTTTTTCGAAGAGTTGTCAAAGGTCTTACGTGAAGGGGAAGAGTTTGAGAAAACGCAGGAGTTGATAAGTGATTTGTTTTGAAATATGTCTACGTGAAGATTTGATACAATCTACAGCTATTTCATTGAGAGAACATGATATCACAACGCAGCAGATTCGAAGTATCACATCATCATGTACTCAAAAATTTTTCTAAAGATCAAAATTTATATTCCAAGTCCACCTAATGCCACCTCATCCCCTCCGAAAGTTACATAACCATCCAACACAAGCTGTTTTGTTTTCTGTCGATGGCCATGAGAATACCAAGCCTATGCATAACACAAAAGACACAGCTAGTGCTGGGAATACACCGATATATATTCCGGAAGGTTGGTGTTGAACGGTCAATTTCGTGCATGTACACCGGTGTTCAGGTTCGTTAATCGTCACTTCTGCTGAAGGAGATGCTTGGTTTGGGAGCCATGTGGCTCGAAATCCTCTCATTTTCTGCTGAGATTGGATGTGTTAAAGGTTTGAGGATATGAAAGGTTGATTTGATTGAAGTTTGTGAAGAATGAGAGGGGAAATGAATGAATGGTATTGCAATATATACCTGTGGGGAATGTCGCGGGAAAGTAATAGACTGATATTGTGAGAATAAGAAAGAAATGATATCTGGAAGAACAGTCTAATGTGGTTGACCCATGATTTATTTACACGAACCCTCTCGTGTCTTCAATATACTCCCAGAACTGTGGCTTGATCTGGTACACAACCAAAAGTTTGACAATTCTCGTGTCTTCTAGACATAAAGCATGTCTAAAAAAACTAACTCTATTGAGAAATCCGACAAATTGAGACCAATTCTGCTTCGCCATGTGAGCAGAAATCCTTCAAGCAAGTTCTTAATCAAATTCTAATCGCCTCCAAAAGGCCTCCCGGAGTAACACATCCTGAAACTCGTAGATACCAACAACTCCAATGCCTATCCAGTCGAAACAGAGAGACCACAGGAGTGTAGAGGAGTCCACAAGAGACCTTTAGTTCCAGCCGTAAGATAGGATAGCTTGCCTCACTCTATCCAAACAAAGCTAACTCAACTAACTAAACTCAAATCCCCTTAATCCAGACTCTTCTCTTCTCATCTCTTCTCTTCTCTTCAATACAACAAACATATAACAACACCAATCGAAATATCGAGAGAAGAAAAGCTCTGACAACCTTTCGTACCGGATTTTTTCGAGGGCCTTCTTTTTTTTCTTCTTTTCTCACACTCTGGTGCTCTGATCTAATTTCTAGCTATCAGTCCTGCATAACTACCTACCTACCTACCTACCTACCTAGTATACTTCCAGATCAGTCTGTAGGTTTGTGACTTACAACACCTAGGTACACACACACATATGAACAACTACCTAGTAATTACATACGAAGAATGCTTGAACGTGAACACTACACTCGCTAGAGCATTCAAAATCCGCACGCAAGACTACATTCCTCGTACCTGACTAGCGAGCGAACTGTAAGAGAAACAAAAGAAAAAGAGAAATCGTTCAATCCCCAATTGAAAAGCCCCAGGTATAGAATAAAGATACAAGAGGACAGAGGAGAGAGACAGATATCAAATTTACAATTTCCTTGTGATTTTCAATTTTCAATTTTGTTTGGTTTTGATATTTCGGAACTCCACACGCGATATTTCTAAAATACACAGAGAGAGTATACAACATCATCTAAGCTCTATAGCAAACAACCATTATATCAGAAAAGAAGCTCATCCATCTAACATTTCGACATTCATCCATCCGTCTTACCAACATTGTCAACATCTACCCCTTCCCCCTCTATATCTACGTCCCCCACCCTATCCAAAATCCTCATTCCACCTCCCTCATCCCACGCAATCCTCCCCTCCAACGCCGCCCTCATGACCTCCCTCCCCGCAACCTCCTTCTCCCCGGTCACCGGATCCCACTCAAACCCCTCCTTCAACCACATCCACCTCAAAAACGCTCTCAACTCCTTATCCTCGGGAAGCACCCTCATCCACTCAGGTTGAAAACCTTCTTCCTCACTGCCCTCCCCATTCCATCCCGTCGCTTTCTCCAACAACATATCCCTACAGAAAATTCGCCAACTATCAATCGCATAGGGCCCCTGGGTCATGTGTCCGATTTCCCAGCCCGTACGCGGGTCTACGGATTCTTCGGGAAGGACCTCGCTTTTTTTGACGTCGCGACCGAGTCCTTTGGTGGGGTAATCATGGACCGCATACCGTTTATTTTTTACTGGTGGATTTTCGCAAAAGGTTTTGGCGTAAGTTTGATAAGTAGCTGCGCGTTGATTTTGTAAGCCTAGGTGTCGGATTACCGAGACAATGTCTTCTTTGGGAGCATCGACTATTGATTGTGGGGTAGGGTATTGGTCCATTAGGGTGTAGAAAACTGGGATGGCTTGTTTACCATGAGTGCGATTGAGAAATGTGACGGCTATGAGAAGTCGAAATGGATCATGGGCAAATTTTTCTTGGATAAGTCCAAAATGAGGTGCAGATAAAGGCGGAAAAGGGATACATGAAATTATGCCAGGGGGCCGTTTTTTAGGAGATTCCTTTTTGGGAGATGAATTATTGATTGTAGATTCTCCTCTTAAAGCTATGGATTTCCTGGATTTAGATGGAGTGGCAGATGGTGGTAGAGCAAAGTAAGGTGAATGCATAGGCGGCCTTTGTTTCTTTCCTGATCTCAGAAGACTAGGAACATCAACTTCAATCGTATCAAAACCGCTACTATCTGATGCTAGAAAGGGATGCTCGGTTATGCTTAGATCAGATAGCTCAGAGGAGTCACTCTCATATGCATTAAGATCGAGTGATTCCGTCTTCCTCAGGATAGGTAGTTCCATATCGTTAAATGATTGTAGCGTTTTCGAAGGTGTTTGAGATTCGTGATTGAAATGCTCCGGGGACTCGCAGGTGATTGACTCGTAAACATCATCATCATCATCATTATCATTATTGGTTCCCGTGTTTATATCCGTTCCTCCCAATTCATCAACGGTGCCTTCATCAATTTCGCAGCTATGGTGACTCAAACTAATATCCAGAAGTTGACTACCACTCGTAGACTCTGGGTCTTCTACGAGTGGTTGGCTTTTGCTGATCTCCTGGTATTCCTAGCTGGAGAATCAAGTCCTGATGCTGAGGCAAGAACGGCAACTCTAGCTTTTGGTACTCTTCCGCGCTTGGCTTTTGGCGATTTGGATTCTCCTGAAACATTAGGAGATTTGGGGGCAGTCTGAGCCGTGTTTGCTGCCTTCACTGGAGGCCTGCCCTTCTTTGCAACTGTCGCCTTTGTTTGTGCAGGTGATTTTGTGGGTGTTTTAGCATTTTTGTTCTTTGATGAGAGAGGTGTAGCTGTGGGTGTCTTGACCTTTTGGTTCTTAGATGAAGCAGGTGTTGTAGGCTTTGTTGGTGTATCTTCAACCTCCAAGCGATTATTGTTTCTAACTCTCTTCCTCGAACGCTTCTTTGCACTTGCGTTGGCCTCGACATCCTCCTTGGGCTCGTCAATTTCCATATCTGAATCGGCTACAGGTGCGGCATTCTCCTTGGAAGAATTATCTTCGGCTTTGTCTTCTTGAGCGGATGGCGAGGTTTCCTTGCTGTCTTCTTCGGTGATCTCCTCATCTGCTTGCTCCTCATCTGCCTTATCATCGGAAGTTTCTTCTGGAATCTCCGCATCAACTTCTGTTTGCGCTGGGGCATCGGACTCGGCGACAGACTCGGGACTATCTTCAGCGTTGTCTTCAATCAAATGGTCAAGAGACGGATATGCGACAACATCGGAGTTACCGACAGCTGGTTCAGAGGTTCCCTCTTCGGCCTCATTCTCTTGCTCGCCATTGACTTCGGGAGCATCCTCCATAGTAACATCTCCATCTAACGCACCCTCGGCCTGGGCTACTGAAGCTCTCGCAGCAGCAATCTTTGCTTCCAGACCAGTAGGTGCGACATTTCCCTTCTTGAGGTCCTTCCAACTGCGCTTCGATTTGATCTTCTTAATTTCCTCTTTTGCCTCTTCAGCAACCTCCCCATTTACCTCCTTCTCGACCTCTTCATCATCACTATCACCAATAACCTGCGCCTTCAACCCAGCTCCAAAGAATTCCGAAGTTTTCGGTCCCTTTGTTTTCTTCTCCCAACTTCTCTTCGCTCCTTTCCCCTTCCCATTTCCATGTCCTCTCTTCAAATCCCGAACCTGTTTCTCCAACGCCTGAATCCTCTCTCTGTCCTTCCTCTTCTCCTCCGCCATCCTCTTCTTCGCCTCCGCCTCCTTCTTCTTTTCCTCTACCCTTCTCTTTTTATCTTCCTCCTGCTGCCTCAAATTCTCCTCATGTTTCTTCGCCTTTTCCTCTTTCTTCTGCTCCCTCAACCTAGCCACTTCTTCCTCTCTGATCCTCTTCGCTTCTGCCTTTTCCGCAAACTTCTTTTCTCTCGCAATCGCCTCCTCAGCCTCTCGTACTAGGGCCGCAGCTTTCTTGGGTGCACTTTTCTCTTCCTTCCTCTGTCTCTTGGCCTCGCGCTCGGCTTTGAAATCGCGTTTGCGTTTATTGCTACCGGTAGCTTGTTCACCGTCGACTGGCGCAGTGCTTTCATTCTGATTAAAAAGTTTAGCTATTTTCCAAATGCTTATCATGGTAAGTGCAAAGATTTGTGAAGCATACCTCATCTTGAGATGGTTTTGCAGACGGAGCGACCTCTCCCTTGGCTTCACCCGCCTTTTCATTGGTCACTGTAACATTATCGACTTTCTTTTCCGTTGCGGCTGGCGACCCCGCCGCCGCAGTACTCTTTCGCTTTGCCATGTCTCAA